CTTCTGTGTGCATTTCAGTGGAAAAGTGGAAACTAAAACATACACGAGGCTAGATGGTGGACATGGAGTCCGCCAGAGCCTCTTCCTGAAAGCCAAACCATTAAAGATGTTCTTGCACTTCAAGGCACCCTTCTCCCCACCCTCAGCTTATTCTTAGGACTGTAGAATGCAGCCACGGGCAAAACAGCCTCCCCAGGAATCTGGCTCTTAATATAGGCATGCTGCTGCTACGTCGCTTCAGTTGTGTCCAACTCTGTGCGACCCCATAGACGGCAGCCCATCAGGCTCCCCTGTCCCTGGGGTTCTCCAGGCAGAACACTGGAGTGGGTTGCCATTTCCTTCTCCAATGTGTGAAAGTGAAAAGTGAAAGTGAAGTCGCTCAGTCATGTTCGACTCGTAGCGACCCCATGGACTGCAGCCTACAGGCTCCTCCATCCATGGGATTTTCTAGGCAAGACTACTGGAGTGGGGTGCCATTGCCTTCTCCGAATATAGGCATGAGTCTCCAAATAATCTTGCTAAATGCAGGTGTTTTCTACTCTCCAGGAGCTGGCCCTGTCAGATGATTGTTTAAAGAAATATCTTCTTTGGAAAAAGAAGGGCAGAATGTTTTCAAGGAATTCAATTGTAAGGGGGTTTGGTCATCATGTGGGGATGAAAGAAAGATGATGATGGGAGTGTCTTGTTCATGGTCATTGTGGGGACTGAGTGAGTTAACTGGTGTTCTTAATTTCTTGCTAATGGATATGGGGGTGACCATATGCGCTATGAAATGAGATAGCACATGGCAAAATGTGTGTAAGGTGATAGAAACGCTGGGTTGTGGGGTGAAGCCTTGTACTTCTTGCACCGTGTTAATTGTGTGAGCTAGAGTAACAGTATCACATGCTGCCTATCAGAGCTGTGTCCGCCTGTATGACTATGTCAGGTTGCAATATTGTTGTTTTTGTCCAGTCACTCAGTTATGTCCGACTCTTTGCAGCTCCATGGACTGCAGCATGCCAGGCTTCCCTGTCCTTCACTATCTCCTGGAGTTTGCTCAAACTCATGTCCATTGAGTCGATGATGCCATCCAACCTTCTCACTCTCAATATATCAGTTATTAAAATACTTCCCTCCTAGTAGGTAAATGGCCCTTCCAGGAGACCAACCTCCCCCACAAAATCCTCTGCCCCTTCTAGCATGCAATGGTCGATATTCTGAATACCATGCTGTGAACAACTTGAACAGGCATTGTTTACCCCCATTTTAGAGATGGGAAAACTGAGTCTCAGAAAGGTGATATAAGGATGTGTCCCTGATCATCTACTGGGTTGATAATAGAACTGGGACCGTAAAATTCACTGAATGCAAACTAGCCTCTTCATTTTATGGATGAGGAGTCCCAGAAGGTTTGGGGACTTATCCAAAGCCATGTGGTTGGCTGGCTGAGGTCCTCTCTCAGAGCATACAGAACCTTCTGGAAGAGCGGACAGCCTTTAGATGAGCAGTAAGCAGAGCCGGGACCTCTCTTCCCATCTGCCTTGTGTTAGGGGCACTGGGAGCTGTTGAAATTGTCAGGCTCTGAAGTCAAGAAGGGGTGGGTAGACTGGACCGTGGGAATTGATGAGAGTTTGTGGAACAGAACAAAAGAACACAGGGGCGAGGCAGGAGCAGGGTAGCTGAGAGACCAGGTGCAGCCTGAGCTGAGAAGGATGAATGAGGAAAAAAAACAACTTTTTTTTTTTTTTTTGAGCACTTGCTCCTCTGTGCCAGACGTATTATACATAGTAGTTCATGAACTCCCCTCAAATGACCCTATGGGGATGGGTTTTTAATCCCCTTTGGTAGGGAAGCACTGTTCAGAGCCCTTTCAAGACTGAAATTAGCAAGAGCAAGAAGACAGACTTGCACTTGTACAGGATTCCCAAACCAGGTTCTTTCTAGTTGAGAAAGCTCAAAGGCGAGGACCATGGCTGAAGTGCTGGGGAACAGGGCCTCAGAGAAATGTTTCATGGAGAAACATGGAAGTTGCTCTGAAATTTCCCCTGAGCAGACTCAGAGGTGGTGCTGTACCTGGGATCTCAGCACGAGGCTGGGCAGGGTCTGGGGCGGAGAGGGGAGGAGGCAGCCGGGCGGCAGTGGTCCCTCCATGCCTGGTTGCCTGGGGAGAAATGCCGTTTTACTTTCAATTAGGAGGGACACTGTGGTCAGTCAGTAGCGCCACCAGAGGAAAATGGGCCCAGCCCAGCCCTGGCTCTCTCCAATTATAATTAATGAACTTAGTCTCAGAGCCGCCAACCTTTTTATATGCAAAATAGGCCTTTATGGGGTCACTGGCAACCAGGACTCATTAAAGAACAAATCTCAGAGAGAATCTTACAGGGGACGAGAGAGAGGCTTAACTTCCATCCCAGACCAGAATGGGTCCAGCCCTCAGGAGAGGATCCAGCTCACCACTGGAGGATTTCGAAGGCCCCTAGTCCTAAACTCCTCTCTGGGGGATCTTTCTGACCCACCACCCCATCCTAAGGTGGGCCGATCTGCCAGGGAGAACTTGCCTCTTCCATTAAGAGGACGAAAGATGGCAGGGCAGCATCTGAGTTCTTTAGCTGCCAGTGCATCTGCTGACATTGAACGGTTATTTTTTCCTCTCCCCGCCTTGATTTCTCCTGTGCGAAGTAGAAGGGATCCTTGGGTTGACTGAGAGGACTCTGAGATTCAGACGTCCTTGCTGTACTGTTCTTGAGCTGCCGTATTTTCCAGTAGGACTTGGGGATGAGAAATCCTAGCTCTACTCCTCTTAGTCCAAATACAACCATAGACGCAGCTCCTTGGGCAAATGTGGGTATCAGTTCAGTCCAGTCATGAAGTTGTGTCCAACTGCGACCCCATGGACTGCAGCACACCAGGCTTCCCTGTCCATCACCAACTCCGGGAGCTTACTCAAACTCATGTCCCTCGAGTCAGTGATGCCACCCAACCATCTCATCCTCTGCCATCCCCTTCTCCTCCCGCCTTCAATCATTCCCAACATCAGGGTCTTTTCCAATGAGTCAGTTCTTCGCATCAGGTGACCAAAGATTTGGAGATTCAGGTTCAGCATCAGTCCTTCCAAAGAATATTCAGGACTGATTTCCTTTAGGATAGAGCGGTTGGATCTCCTTGCAGTAGCAGGGGGCAAGGTCAGCCTTGTGCCACTTTTGGAGAGGGAGCGCCACTACAGTCTCGGGGAGGAGGAAAGAGTGGAGTCAGGATGGGCCCAACCCCTTGGGCTCACAAGTCCCCACTTGGCATCAGTCTTCTCTCCTGAGTCTCCAGCATCCCGCATCTCCTACTCCAGCCCGAGCTTCATCCTTTCACAGAATCGTTCGTCTTGTGTCCCGAGCTCTTATCTTGCCTGAGCAGAGGGGCTGAGATGGCAGCAGAGATAAGGGCACGGAATGGACCTTTAAGACCCTCTATCCACGTGGGACCTCAAGGTCCCGGAGACTCACATGCTCTTGAGCCTCAAGGCCACAAGCAGGGTTCAGGCTCCATCCCTTCTCCCCTCCTGCTACTCCTCTCTGTTTTATTTAGTTAAAACTGGGTCAAAATACACATAGCATAAAATTTTCTATCTTAGCCAGTTTTAAGTGTACAGTTTAGTAGTGGTAAGTGCATTCTCATTGTTGTATAGCCATGACCACCATCCATCTCTAGAACTTTATTCATCTTTCCCGACTGAAACTGTGCACCCATTAAACACTAACTCCCCCTGAAACTCCTGTTCTACCTTCTGTCTCTATGCATGTGACTACCCCGTGTAGTCATAAGAATGGAATCGTGTAGTGTTTGTCCATAGTGATCTGCTTGTTTCACTTGGCAGAATGCTTTCAAGATTCACCCATGACTTAGAGTGTGTTTAAATTCCCTTCCTTTTAAGGCTGAATCATGTTCCATTGCATATCTATATCACATTTTGCTTATGCATTAATCTACGATGGCACCTCCGTTGTTTCCACACTTTGGCTGTTGTGAAGGATGCTGCCTTGAGTGTGGGTATCAAGTATCTCTTGGAGACCCTGCTTCCGGTTCTTTTGGATGAAAACTCAGACGTGGATAGCTGGGTCTGCTGCTCCTTGTCTGGCCTCTCTTCAGGTTAAAGGCATGGATACCCTGGAATTTCTGCCCCCCAGCCCTCTCTGGACAGAGCTGATTGCCCAGTGAAAAGGGGCCCAGTGATCCACCTCCTCCATCCCCGAATGTGCTCACAAATCAGCGGCTTGCCCCATCAGAGGGAGCTCAGTGTGTGTCTGCCGAGGGGCACTTCTCTGGGGTCAGCCCATCCCCAGAGCTCAGGCAGAAGCTTCTGGATTTCAAAGGTCTCTGGGGCTCATTCCAGAACATTCCCAAATGCCAGACTCAGCCCACCTATCGAAGGTCCCCTCACACTCACCTGGGCCATGGTCCAGACTGACGTTCTAGAGCCTTTGTCCCAGTTTTGGGGGTCACTGCGGGGCTGCTGGCATGGGTCCTTTTGTCCCAGTGTTTGGCAGCCCGAAACCAAGGGAAAGGGATTGGCAGCCCAAAATGAGACAGGAACCCCAGCCAGCAGAGTTCAGTCTGCCAGGGTACAATCCCCACCCTTGAGAGGGGACCACTGGGAATCTGGACCACAGGGGCTGGAGAGGGTGGGGTGGGGGTCGACCTCCGTGGGGAGTGCCTCAAGGATTCAGGACACGGGATGCTCCGTCCCTCTGCCTGTCTGCTGGGGGCCGGGCATGGGCAGCAGTGCAGAGGCCCCACGTGGTGAGCCCCTGGGAGGGGCAGGATGATGCGGAACATCCGGGGGATGTCGGCGGCTGCTTCCCCTTTGGCTCCCTGTGCCCCGGCTGAGCCTCGCTGTCTGTCCACAGGACTGCCCCCAGCTGCTGCGCGTGGACAAGATCCTGGTGCCCGTGGAGGTGATCAAGCCCATCACCCTCAAGGCCAAGAACCTCCCGCAGCCGCAGTCGGGGCAGCGCGGCTACGAATGCGTCCTCAACATCCAGGGCAGCGAGCAGCGGGTGCCTGCCCTGCGCTTCAACAGCTCCAGCGTGCAGTGTCAGAACACCTCCGTGAGTGCCCGCCTGCGCCCAGACCCTGCGCCCACCCCCACCCACTGCTCTCTCCTGGCCTCAGTCAGCTCAGCAGGGCAAGACTGCCCCCAACACCAGCAGAACTGTTCAGCTCCCCTCCCACCGCTTCTGCCAGCCCTGCCGGCCCAGCCAATCTCACCACGCCTTTGCCTGCAGGTGTGGCCCTGTCGTGGTGACCCAAGGGGCTGGGGACCAGCCGTGGGGCCACTAAACACTGTCTGTGGGCTTAGATGTGTTTGCGGGGCTCCATCCTCCTTCCTGAGAGGATCTCTAGAAACCCTGGGCCCGGACTTCCTACCAGGGCTGACCTGACGGTCTCATCTGAGCCCACAAAGGCCCCCCCATCAGCCTTTACACCCACATAGAGGCTGTTTCCCAGCACACGAGACTTCTGAGCCAGGTCAACATCCACAAAGATGCTGGAACAGGAGGGAGCTGGCCAAGGCTCTGCTGCGGAGATCCACATGAACCCTGCCCAGTATTTAGAAATTCACATTAAATCTGTGCTGGACCAGCTATGGCTCAGCTGCCTTCTACTGCCCACAGCCTTTGCCTGATCCCTGGTCACCACACAGTGTCCCTAATGGTGCACCGCCTGCCTGTCTGCTGGCTCCCCTGATAGCCTTTGACCTTCTCTCTTCCTGGGCTACTTCTATGCACCCAGATACTCAGAGACAAACAGTAGACTTAAATACTTGTAACATTTTCAAGCTATATGAGACTTATACTCTTCTTCATGGTACAGAAGAGAAACTGGAGGCCCAGAAGAAGGGGCAGGATTGGGTTTGTGGGGCTGAGAGTTATACAATTTGGGGGACCTTCTTTAAGAATGAAATACATCAATACAAATGAGATACACAGGCAGGCCTTAGGATGATCTGTGCAGGCTCGTGCAGGGCCCTAAAGCTGACCCTTAGGCTCCATTCACTTCAGGGTAACCCATCAGGGCATGATGGTCAAATCTGCTTCTCATGCCCGGAGGCCCCAGTGCCAGCCCACTCTTGCTCAAGGTCACACAGCTAGTGAGTGGCAGGGCCAGACCTGGGTACAGGGGTCTCCTCCTCCGCCACACTGCCTGCTGTCATTCCTGTCATTGCTTCTGGGTACTTACAGGTGATGACTGTAGTTAAGGATGTGACGTGGGACCAGGAGAGCCCCTGACAAAGCTCTTCCCGGGGCACCCTGCTCTTCCTGCAGGAAGCAGGCTGGGGTGAACGGAGCTCAGAGAGGTGAACATGCTGGCCCGGGGCATGATGGTCATATCAGCTTCGGATCCCTGGAGGCCCCAGTCCACAGAGTCCTGCCCAATCAGTCAGCCTCCAGGGTACACGGGCTCAGGCACCTGCGGACCTGTCTCCAGGGGTTTGGAGACACAAGAACCATGGTAGAAATGTGACACTGAGGCTGGAGGCCTGGAGCCCAAGGCTCTGACTGCCAAGGAGAGGAGGTGACTTCTAAGCTCCTGACCTCCCCTGCCCTCCCCTCAGGAGTGGGGGAGGGCCTGCGCTGACCTCTGGCCCACTGGACTTGGGGATCCTCTGGAGGCCTTCCCACCCCCATGGACAATTCTCAGTGCCTCCAAGGCCCTGCTCCCAAAATAAACTTTTCCCTCCTGCCTTTTTCACTTCAACACCCTAGGAGGGAAGGGAAGATAACATTTGTTTCTCTACCATCTTAAAGTCTTAGCAACTGAGGAAACAGGAGGTGTACCCCACAAAGAGTGAGTTCTAAGAAGATCCAGGACCTGCTGGCATCACACAGTTCAGGAAGGCTTATCAGGAGCCTATCTTTTCAGGGGGATCAATGGGATCCCAGTTGAAATGCCATCTGGGCCAGGGTGGTGCTTAATGTCAAGTGACTTCCTTAAAAAAAAAAAAATTGGGGTCATTATCAGGGGCAAGTCCCCCTTACCATTGTAATAGAACACAATGTACCATCAGGGCAGGAAGAGACCTGAGTATTTACTTGATCTTGTGACAGGCAGGGAGGGGATCTCCAAAGCCCAGAGAGCGCAGGTGAACTGCCCTCGGTCACACAGCTTGTCATAGCCAATTTAGGACTTAAACCCCACCTGGTAACACACCCCTCATCAAAGACTAGGCCAAAACCAGCAACTGAGCACTTTATAGTAGGGTCTGATCTGCCTCAGAGAGGATGGTGGAAGAAGAGGCATTGTTGTTTTGTTTCCTAAATGAGCTCTCTGGAGAGGGGCAGGAGGAGAGAAGTTTCTAACAGAGAAACCAACCCCTGCCCTCACACCCCCAGTTTGTGATGGCAGAGATAGGAGGGTGACCAAGAGGTCTCAGAGGAGAGCAGAAGAGGAGAGAAGGAAAAGAGAGACGCAGGAACATTTTGCACAGGGTGACCCCAGGGCTGGTAGGCAGGCAGCTCACTTCCAGCCCACTATGTGGGGACAGGCCCTGGGCCAATCGCTGTAGCCCTCGGGGGCCTGTAGGAGGAAAATCAGGGCAGCTCGCAGGCAACAGGGGGAGGATGGAGCAACTGTGGGTGTTTGAGGCCTCCTTTAGACTGTGGCTCCAGAAACGTCAAGTGCTGCTAATAATAGCGTCCAGTCCCACCCCGCAGTCACTGGCCATCATGATAGTCAGTGGGCCGCCGGGGGGTGGAGGGCTGGCTGCACTTTGGACGTAAGGCTCTAGGCCCAGCTTCCACCCACCCACGGGGAGCCTCACAACTTCTTGCGGTGCCCCAGTTTACTGCATGCAAAACAAGGATGGGGAGACCGATGGGGCGTGACATGTCCCCCCTTCCTGCTTTACTGGAACACAGCTGGGAGTGTGTCTGCTGAGCCTCTGAGGCCCTGGAGATGGACACAACACACATGCGTGTGTGTGCGTGCTAAATTACTTCAGTCATGTCCGGCGCTTGTGACCCTGGATTGTAGCCAGCCAGGCTCCTCTGTCCATGGGATCCTCCCGGCAAGAATACAGGAGTGGGTTGCCGCGCCATCCTCCAGGGGATCTTTCCAACCCAGGGATCAAACCCCTGTCTCCTGTGACTCCTGCATTGGCAAGTGGGTTCTTTACCACTAGCACCACCTGGGAAGCCCTGGCATCTTATTGTGGTGATAGAATTGATAGAACTTTCCACCAAAATATCTCAGACAGGGAAATGGCTGGAGGGAAGAATGTCCAAATTATACAGATGTCCTCTTTTTCCTTTTAGAAGGTCGGGAAACTGAGGTTCACAGGGAATGAGTAACGTCATCTGTGAGCTGGGCCAGGGTGAGCCAGACGTTGATTGAGACACTTAACCTCCTGACCTCTGGGGGCCTGAAACACTCTTCCTTCAGAGCTGGGCTTTGTGCAGATTAACTGCCCACTGATTTCACAGAGCTATATAAATGCTAAGTGGAACAGAGGTGGGGGGTGTTGAGGGATGGGAACCAGTGGTCCAGGCTCCCCTGCAGGATGCTTCCAGAAGGATATTGGTCAAAGGAGAGGGAGAGCATCTCCAGGAAGCAGAGTGACTTCCCTGGAGAACTAGAGGGTGGTGGGGAACACCGCGGTTAATGATTTCTGTTAATATTTCAGAATTGAGGTCTCAGGAAGGGGAGGAGAAAGAGGAAGCAATGCCCTGAACTTCTGATCCTTAAAGCCTTGTAATTTGTTTTCTTCAAAAAGAAAATATGTGCACATACACACACACATACACACATGTCTGAACACGTGAGTGTTCTCATCTGCATACGTCTCCGTATGTACCGAATGTCTGACACATGAACACTCAATAGGTGCTGCTATTATTCCACATAGACATAAACACAGGGAACGCAAGTTGTTTTTGCACAGCACCCTTCAATGTACCCACACAGATTCAAATAGACAATAATGTTTGGGTGCCCGTTCTCTGTGACAGGCACTGTACTGCCCAGAGCATCAGATGGTTGTCTCGAACCCTCCCGACAGTCCCATGAGGTACGCAGTGTATGTAATTCCCACTTTTCACGTGGAGAACCTGAAACTCAGGTGCTCTGCCCGCATTCACATAGCCGGTCACTGTGGAGCCCCTTCACAGCAGTACATGTGTGTGCCCATGTATGCTCACAGGCGCACACACGCCTGAACGCACAGAGATGCACAGGCCTCTTCTCACGTCCGCACGCATGCGAAGACATTCGTGCATGCAGACACTCCCGAGCACACATGGGCAGTCGGTCTTGCCTCGCTCTCTGGGGGATCTCAGGGCCTTCTGGAAAGGGCCCTGAAGGTGCTCTTGGTCTTTGGCTAACACATCCCTGGGTGCTACCTGTCACATCCACTCTGGGTCCTGGCCAGACCCAGACCGAGACCTGAGAGGCAGGAACCTGGCTCCGATGCTGATTTAGGCACTGCCAGCATCCTTCCTAGAGGTTTGGGCGGCCTGACACTTGTCCTCACCATCTGTCTCCCACTGGGGTCTCAGAGGATGGGGATGGGAAGGATGAGGCAGAGGAGCTTGGCCACAGGAGGAAATGGGAAGAGGGTGCCTGGAAAGTGTTCTCTGCCTCCCGGACCCCCACTCCTTTCCTACACACATCCCCCTTGGCAGGCCTCTGTCTCCCTGCTGCTAGCAGACGGGCGGGAGAGGAGCAATGATTCTCTACATTCTCTAACTTTAGCAGCACCAGACTCGCTAGAGTGCCTCCCTGGAAGTGCTCCTGTCTCCAGGGATTCCGATTTAGCAGGTCTGGTAGGGCCCTGGAATCTGCATTTAGCAGACCTCATTCCCCACCCCCGAGGCCCCCCTGACTCTGATGAAGGCAGTCCTTTTCTTTCTTTCTTTTCTTTTTTTTTTTTTAAGAAAACTCAGGGCAACTTGGAATGACCCACCCAGATGCGAAACATTTAACCTCTGGGGAATTGATTACTGGCCTGCACGGCAGAAAGCTTATGAGTCATCAGCTGAGTTATAGGATAACCAAAAATATTCTCCAGTATTGTTCCTGCAGGAGTAGGAAGCTTTGCTTTATTCTACAGTTCAGCCCAAACCCTGACCCTGGCCCAGGAGTCAAGGAGGAGATTACGCAAGAGTGTGGATGGTGGTGTAAACCACCACCACTGGGGGTAAAACACTGCAAGTGGCTCCCTGGCCCAGGCATCATCAGCAAAGAGTTCGTGAAAACCCCTGGTGTGCTAGGGTAGAGCCTGAAGAAGGCTGGACACACACCCTGCTTGTGATTCCGTATGAGGACAAGGTCACAGCATGCTCATCATGGAGCGCGCTCTGTCACTCAGGAATATAGGACAATTTCCCAGGTTCAGATGATAACATCTCCTTTAGAAGCCCCCGCGGATAAGCTGCAGAGCGGAGGCCCTCGAGACCTTCTGCAGCCTGAGCATTCAGAGTTTCTGTGCTGTCCTCCCCTCAGGGAAACAGAGCGTCAGCTGCCTGCCACAATAGCCACGCACATCCCTATGGCCCGGCCGCTCCAGACATAAACCGCATTAAGAGAGCCTGCTGGCTCTGCGAACACAACTTCAGACCAAGTCCCCTGGATGGAACTTTTCCAACCAATTGCCCACCCCCAGTGCCTCCTCCTCAGAAAACCTGTTTCAGCTTCAATCTCCCATACCACCCCCTGTGGTGGGCAGAATCTAGTGGAATAATGAGAAAATCACCAGGTAGGGATTGGAAGCACTACCCTGGGTGGGCAGCAAGTTCCTGCCGCCTGCCCTACTTCTCTGGGAATGGAGAAGGGGATGCTGGCAGAAGGCAGATGGGGGCTGGCATGCTGGGGGCATCCCACTTCCCCGCCTCCCTCCTTAGCACCACAGTCCCTTGGGATAGACTCAGCCTGGGGCAGGGGCAGGGACATTAGAGGAGAGCTAGGTGGGGAAGCAGGGCCCAGAGGCCTGGAACAGCTCCCCATCCAATGGACTGCTGCGGGACTGCAGCCCTCGGCCCGATCTTGGAGCTTCTGGTGCCTTGACCCAGATTTCCAGGTTTGTGCTATAGAATGACCTCAGGATTTCCCACCTCACCTCTGAGCTCTCATCCATCCTCTTCTCTGCTTAAACCCCAGAGCCACTCACCCCTGAAGAGAGCAGCCCCTTCATGTCTTCCCCATTTCTCCCCTTCTCTCCCTGCCTGCGAATTGATCAGGCTTGGCCAGTTCCCTGGTAAAGCGCTCACCTCCCCTGATCATGTCCTAGAAATGAAAGTTTTCAAATCACATCGAGGGCCTGGCAAGGCCTAAAGGTCAGAGCTCCCCACCTGGGCACCCAGTGGGAAGCAATCTCCTCTCTCACTTAAACGTCCAGGGGAAGGCTCAGCTGGCAGGAACAGGCGTCCAGAGAAGGTGGCCAAGACTTACTGTAGTCTGCTTCGTGAACCCACATTCCAAATGTGTGTCCCACCCAGGCCCGGCCCCTCCCTGCCTTAGCTTCTTGACCCCCTGCTCTGGTCCCCTGAGACGGGCATCCCCACCTTGCTTGCACATGCGTGTATGTGTGTGTGCTCGAGTGTGCTTGCACATACACACACACGTGAGCTCACACAGTCTTGGCCTGTCCTGAGCCCCGTGCACTCTTGCGGGCACTAGGCTGAACAGTGGGCACCCCTCACCCCGTAGAAATCTCTATGACCAGCTTTCTCCTTTCTTCCCATCCTGGCCGCAGTACTCCTACGAAGGGATGGAGATCAACAACCTGCCGGTGGAGCTGACAGTTGTGTGGAACGGGCACTTCAGCATTGACAACCCGGCTCAGAATAAAGGTGCGGAAGGCGAGCCGGGGAGGCGGGCAGGGAGGGGCCACTCCTATTCAGGGCCACTCCCATTCCGTGCCCACCCTCCACGCCTCCCAGCACCCCCACTGCTCTGTGACTGCTCCAGTGGGTGGGCAGCTTAGCGCAGTGGAGGGAGCAGGGTTAGCAGGGAGCAGCTAGCTAACTGGGCCCCTGGTTATGGGGCAGACTTCCCCTCCCAGCCATGTTCTTCTGCCCAGGCCTTTTTTGCATCCAAAAGGCAGAGCGGACAAGGCTGCCCGTGTCCCATACAGAGGCCAGGGCTGCGTTCCCGGTCCACACTCCTGGCTCCCCCCCGCCCCCACCTCCAAGCCTCTCTTGTCCTCTGCCTGCAGTTCACCTCTATAAGTGCGGGGCCATGCGTGAGAGCTGCGGGCTGTGCCTCAAGGCAGACCCGGACTTCGAGTGTGGCTGGTGCCAGAGCCAAGGGCAATGCACCCTCCGGCAGCACTGCCCTGTCCACGAGAGCCAGTGGCTGGAGCTGTCGGGCGCCAACAGCAAGTGCACGAACCCCCGCATCACAGAGGTGAGCCGTGCTCCGCTGGGCCCTGTCCTGCCCCCCGGCTGGGCCCTGAAAGACATGCCTGGCATGGTGGCTGGCACCCCATGGTGACGACCAGGTGCCCAACTGGCTGCAGGCAGCCTCGTTTTCCTGCAAATCTGCAGCAGCTCTAGGCTTGGCTTAGAGGCCCTTCCCACATCAGAGGAGGTCGAGAGCCGAGAGGGCTCAACTCAGCTGTCCTGTGGCGTCCCCGTGTGCCAGGAAGGACGCCCAGTCCCAGACTCCCCTTACTGGACTCCAGGAGTCTCAGTGATGAGCCCATGAGGGTTCATCGGCGGCAGCTCGTTAAGCAGTCAGCGCATGAGCCCAGGCTGCGTGGGGGTCAAGGGCATGGACCCCAGCCCTGGAGAGGCGGAGGTCAGAGCGGAGAGGCTTCAGGGTGAACACAGAGCGAGACCTAAGCTGTAAGATGGAAACAGCTGGGGAGCACGGTTAGGAGGGTGCAGGACACAGGCAGTGCAGCCAGGAGCACTGATGGGCAGGGCAGAGCGAGAGATGCAGATACTGCGGTCACAGAGATCCCTGTGCCATCAGCTGATCCCAACTAACTGTTGGGTCCCATGGCCCTAATTCATCTCTATCTCCAGGCCTCAACTTGCTCATCTGTGCCATGGGCCTAAGCGCCCACCTCCCAGAGCAGGGACAGGGGTTATAGGAGTACATTCGTACAAACGCTTGGTTGACACCCAGCTCGTGGGGATCTCATCACCTTCTTCCTCCTCATTCATCATCAACCTTGTTAAAATCATTGTTAAAGTGTCTAAGCCCTTTACTTCCCTGGTGTCTTGACAGCCACACTCCCTCAGAACGACCCCCTAAGGTACCCCCTACCTTGATGGAATTCCTTACTCTTCTTGTAGAATAAGGAAGAGACATGCCTGTCTCAGTGACAGGACGATGTCTGATACGTCGACTCCTGACGCCCAGGATTTAGCACATAGTAGGTGCCTCGGTGCTTGGTGCTGATAATGATAATGTCACAGCAGGGACAGAGGGAAGAAGAGGAGAAGGAAGCTCCGTTTGCCAATCCATAGTGAGTGGACGCTGGGCATCCAGCCCTGGGCAGTGTCACACATGCCCACGTCTGGTACCCTAGCAATTGTTGCTTGTTATTTAGTCGCCAAGTCGTGTCTGACTCTTTGTGACCCCAGGGACTATAACCCACCAGGCTCCTCTGTGCAGGGGATTTCCCATGCAATAATACTGGAGTGGGTGGCCATTTCCTTCTCCAGGGGATCTTCCTGACCCAGGGATCGAACCCAAGTAGCCTGCGTTGGCAGGTGGATTCTTTACCACTGAGCCACCAGGGAAGCCCAGAGTTACAGGCTGCACATTTGTGTGGTGCTTCAGAGTCTGTGAAATTGCCACCTATCCTTTACCATATCTGGGCTCACAGCAACCTGCTGCGTGATTTCCTAGGGCTGCAGCAACCAAGCGCCTGAAACAACAGAAACACATTGTCTCTCAGTTCCGAGGCTGGACATTGAAATCAAGGTGTTGCCAGGCTGATTCTAAGGGCTGTGAAGGGAAGGTTCTCTTCCAGGCTCCTCTATCCATCTGCTGATGCAGGAGACGCAGTTCAATTCCTGGGTCAGGAAGGTCCACGTGGTTGCAAAGAATCAAACAGGGCTTATCCACTAAACAACAACAACAACAACTCCTTGGCTTGTAGGTGACTGTCTTCTTCCCGTGTCTCTTCACATCGTTTTTCTTCTATGTGTGTCTCTGTACAATCTCTTTTTATGAGGACACCAGTCATATTGGATTAGGACCCACCGGAATGACCTCATTTTGACTTGACTACCTCCATACAGACCCTTTCTCCAAAGGTCGCAATTCTGAGATGCTGGGATTTAGGAACTTTGACATATGGATTTAGGGGGACACAATGCAACCCATGAATTGGGGGTTATTATCACCCTCTCCTACATAAAAGATCGACACTGAGACCTACTCTGACCAAAGTCTAAATCAAAGGAGTCCTGAAAAGCTGGTCTCTTGATTCTTGGATTGCTGTCTCCCGCCCTGCAAAGGCAGAAGAACATCCACTCATTCCCTGGCTCCTCCCCTCACAAGTAATGCACACACAGCAGGGATGTGTAAGACAGGAAGGGGCTTGACTCCTGAGTGAGCAGCTCCTCCAGCAAAGCAGCCTCCTGGGCGTGGCCCCCTGGGTGTGGGCCCCCCCCAACGTTAGTGCCTCCCCCCAACGTTAGTGCCTCCCCCCACGTTAGCTGCTTCACTGTCCACATCCCTGGTTCTCCAGATGTCAGGAGAGCTTCATTCAGTCCTGACTTCAAGTCTCCTGCATGAGTCAGAATCTCAACAATTGTTCTCAAACCACAGAACGATACTCATGCATTTTACGTACAGAATTATTTGGAAAAGGCAGGCAGGTGGATGCCTCTGGTCCCCCTCTATATGAGGGCCCCCCTCCTTTCCCGCCACCCCCTACCCTCAGAGCCTGTAGCAAGAAACCATCCCCCGGGGCTGCCTTGCAGGACTGCTAATGGTGCGTCTGGCAAAAACTATGGGACTTGCTTTCTTCTTGGCCCGAGACCAAGAAAATCGCAGGGAGGAGACGGCAAATGAAACAAATCTCCCTGTGACAAAGGCTATTTACTGGCTCCATACTGGTATCGGCCCTCCGGGGATCCCGGGCACCTGAGGACTGACACAGAGATAAAACTCCCATTTCAGGACCACAGGCCAGAGCTGGAATATCCTGATGCTGCTGCTGCCAGGTGCCAGCGGCGCCCTGGGGACTGGCTGGGCAGGCATCTGGGGAGGACAGGGGCTGCCCCGGCCCACCCCCTTCTGTCTGGCCACCTTCCTCACACAGAAACAAGCCTGCCTCCAAAGAATCTCTTTTTTTCACTGCAGTGGGAATGTGCGTGTGCATGTACGCTCACTTAGAGATTGCACAGCTACACATCTGAGAAGCAAAGTGTCTTGGCCTTTGCAGGTGAACAGCCTAGAAAGCCCAGCAAAGCTGTTACCCCCTTCCCCATCTCTCACCCTCCTGCCAGGATGGAGTCCCCACTTGTAACCCTGGAAGGATAGAGAGTAGGTAATATTAAAGAGGTACCCTATCTGGACTCCTCCAATTGTGATCCGGTTGACATTGACCAAGAACCAGATGCTGGTGCTCAGCAGCACCGAGAACAAGAAATTGGCCCTTCTCTGGTCTGTCAGATGCCAGGAGAGGCTAGCATGGAGTGTCTTCTGCCATTCAGCTCACTACCGTGTGGGCTCATAATTAGATCACATAAAGTGTATGGAGTCCCCACCACAAAGCAGGCCCTTGGTTGTTGAATTCTAACATTCCAATCATGGGTTTTTAGCATCAGTGGTGACGTCTCAGGAGGGAAAGCCAGTCATTTTGGCCAAGTTTATGAAAATAAAGTCTAAATTAAACCCATCTCCTTAGAAACCAAACCAGATAATGAGAGAGGAGCTGTGACAAACATTTTTCTAACTCCAGGAAGATGCTTGGATAGTTGCGGTGTTCAATACAATTACAACTTAAGAAAATAACTATGGTGCTGTCACGAGAAAATCCATGAGGAGAAAAGGGGCATCACTGCCTGTGCTCGCAGAGACTCAGGATCTGAAGAGGAGAGGGCAGGGGTATGGCAGTGCGAGGAATCACACAAACGTATGATGAAAAGAGCATACAGAGGTGTCCTAAAATTTCAGTGGAGAAAGACAGAGCTTCTGGTGATGGGGAAGTGACTGTTGACAAGGATCTTGAAAGGTGGGTGGATGCCATCGTGGGGAGGGCTGTGGGTTGATAGGAAGCTTGTTCATTTTCATTGAGAATGGAACTAACACGAGCAAATACTGCTGCTGCTGCTAAGTGGCTTCAGTCATGTCCGATTCTTTGCGACCCTGTGGACCATAGCCCGCCAGGCTCCTCTGTCCATGGGATTCTCCAGGCAAGAATGCTGGAGTGGGTTGCCATGCCCTCCCCCAGGGGATCTTCCTGACCCAGGGATCAAACCTGCATCTCTTTATGCCTCCTGCATTGGCAGGTGGGTTCTTTACTACTAGCGCCACCAAATAAATGCTGGTAGGCTTTAATTCTGATTTTCTATGAATTACCCAGTAACATTGCAGATCACATTCTATCTCTTCTTCTGTGAAATGGGAAGAGGAACAAGGGGCTTTGAACCCTGCTCCTAAAACCATCCACAAACACAGAATACTCTTCCAGAAGCTCCTGCCCATCCACAGTCCCAGACCTGGGTGCCCTTGTGGACTTGAACTCAACTCAAGGAATTGGGTGGAGGGAACGGGGTATAGAAGGGGAAGAGACTCTTCCTGTGCCATCAGCCGGTGGGGGGTGATGCTCTGTCTTGGTATCAGATTATCGTGCTTCCTCCTTCCAGATAATCCCGGTGACAGGCCCCCGGGAAGGGGGCACCAAAGTCACCATCCGAGGGGAGAACCTGGGCTTGGAGTTCCGGGACATCGCCTCCCACGTCAAGGTGGCGGGCGTGGAGTGCAGCCCTCTCGTGGATGGGTACATCCCTGCCGAACAGTAAGTGGAGGCCTCCAGAGACGTGGGCAGGGCAGGGATGAGAAGCCCACGTAAAAAGGTGACTGACTCCGACGTCTTCTCTGGTCCACAGCAGAGGCTCATAGAGCTTATGCACAGAAAAGGAGAATGTCCCTCACCTTCTAGGGTGTGTGTGGGGGGGACTCCTACAACTCCCCAGCTCCTGAACTAGCCAGCTGCCACATTGGGGGAAGTCCAGAAAGAGGAAGGGGAGAGGGCAGGGAGAGAAGGGGAAAATGGTCATTAGCTCTTGCTCCTACTCATCAGTAGGAGCAAGATGGATCAATATAAAAATCTACAGCAGTGAGAGTTCAGTTCCTCCCCCTGACTCACTCCGATGTCTCTAACTCCCCAGTCCTGTCCACTCTCGGCTATGAAAAAAGCTAATCCTATACAACCATCTATGGAGGCTGAGAATGGACCTCCACACCCACTCTCATGCCTGTAGGGACTTGGATTGTTTTCCCCCAGCAAAATCTGCTGGTCCACAGAGAGGGCCATTAGACACATGATCTTGACCATGGCCTTGACCTCTAACCTACCTGACAAGGGAGGTTTGTGAATCATGTATTGCCTTGTAAATAAGTAAAGACAATTTTCCAGCCCAGCAAACACAAGCATGAAATAAATGTTCACCAGCGCAGTGGAATCTATATTCTACACCCTCTATATTGCCCCTCCCAGAGTGAAACCTTGCCACTTATCCCGTGTGCATAAGTTTTTAACTCTTTGCAAGGTCTCACTTAAGTAGGTGAATGCATTTACACTGTGTTGCCTGTCTTCTTGCCTGGGAAATCCCATGGACAGAGGAGCCTGGCAGGCTGCAGCCCATAGGGTCGCAAAAGAGTCTGACATGATTTAGTGACTAAACAAAACAACAAAGGAAAGCAAAACTCATTCAATTAGTGGTTCATTTTCAATACCTGGAAAAAAGTATAATATCAGATTTTTATTTCACATTATACACCAAAATAAATTCTAGATGGATTAAAGAGCTAAGGGTAAAATATAAAACTATAAAAGGATTAGAACAAAATGCAGGTGAAAATTTATTTGATTTCAAGAAAGGGAAGGTGTTCCAGGTATGACTGCAAAAGAAAAGATTTAAAGGAAAAGATTAGGAAATTTGAGTACATAATACTTAAAACTTGTGCACCAAAACCACTGTGTGCAAAGTAAAAATATGATGGTAAACCAAGAATACAGTTATACCCTGTTACAGTATGCTTTTTCTTCACATATAAAGAGGTGCTATAGATGAAAGGCAATTATCACAAAATTAGCAGAGTGTGCATGTGCGATTCACAAGACAAAGAACCAAAGTCATATAAAAAATGTTTAATATCAGTAGCAACCAATGGAATGCAAATTAAAACAGTGGGGACAATTTTTAAAAGTTAATACCCAGTTCAAATGAGAGGCATGAGAAATAGCACATTCATACATTCATGTCAGGAGGGTAAATTGGGATGACCTTCCTGGAAGGCAATTTGGAAATGTAGGTCATGTGTCTTTAGCCTGGCCATAATACTTCTAGAACTTTCCTCAAATAAACAGAACGCACAAATATTTATTTGCAAGAATGTTTATTTTGGCCCAATTTTTAACAGTGAAATTGTAGAAGCAATTTGTATGTCTAAAAATAGGGAATTAATTTAATAAATTATTGTATATACCTAGGACACTAAACTACACCGCCATTAAATTTGATGCTGTAGGAGAATCATGACCAGGCATATACACAAGTTATATTAAGTGAGAACACAGGTTACCAAGCAGAAAAAAGAGCCTATAATTAATTTTGTAAAAGAAAAGCAAGACTGGAAACATAAACACCAAGATGTTGACAGTGGATATTTCAGGAGCTGCAATAGGGGCCCAGGGATATATATATGGCAGGTAATTTTTTTGTCCTTTTTTTTTTTTACTGACCATGTATTAATTATGTTTTGGGGACAGAAAAGCATATATTTTTCTGTGCTTCAATTCTTCATTTATAAAATGGAGATTATTTGTATTATACATTTGCATAGATCTAGAGAAAGGTCTGCACAGATTTATACACCAAGATTTTGAGAGAGATTTTTGAAGAAAGGCACACTTGCTTTTTACTTCTGTACTGTGTTCAAGGGTATGAACCATTTTATAAGTGAAACAATAACAATTTTTTAAAAGGGGAGATGTTCAGACTTTCCCTTACCCCTTCCCCTGCCAGATGGACTAGGAGCAGAAACCACTGCCTGGGGCAGTCCATGCCTTGGGAGCAAAGAGCTCCGAGGCAAGGACTTGAAAACCTTAGGTCTGCTCTGAGGTCCCTATCTGGTGGCTGTGTGCCCTGGGGTAGGTCACTTTACCTCTCTAGGCTCTGCCATCTGTATTGCCTAAGCTATTTGGCTGCAACTTTCCCTGCACTCTAATTGAGAACTGAGTGGACAATTCATGAATTAGGGACTGAGTATCTGGGGTCCTCTCCGAGGCACCCCGTTTTTCCAAGGGCCCCCAAGGAGACCCCTGTAGATCACACTTCATTTCCTGAGAACCAGGGAGGAGCCCTTGCTGGAGGAATCAGTGTCTTTCACCTCCTCCTCCCCTGCCCACCCCTGAGATGGTACTGCAGAGAGGGAGGCCCAGGTAGGCGTGGGGCCCACGGGTCACGGCAGGGAGGCCTGTTGCCTCCTGTGATCCTTGGGGCCGTCCTCTCCTCCTGCAGGATCGTGTGTGAGATGGGGGAGGCCAAGCCCAGCCAGCACGCCGGCTTCGTGGAGATCTGTGTGGCCGTGTGTCGGCCTGAGTTCATGGCCAGGTCCTCGCAGCTCTATTACTTCATGGTGAGTCCTGACCACCAGCAGCCTGGCTGGGCAAGCACTGGCCACCGGCATCTTTACCATGGCTGTTGGACCTCTGTGGGCAAATCCAGGCCAAGGTCTTGGGAGTCCCATCCTGCAGCGCCTGAGAGTTGGGGAGACGTGGGTTCACATCCTGACCCCGAGGGGCTGGGCTCCAGGGAAGTGGCTTTGACTCTTGGGCCCCAGTGTCCCCTTCTGGCTGAATGTCAGCCTGACCTGGTGGGTGAGGGTGTGGGCTATGCATGAGAACTGTTGGGATTTGAACCCTGGCTCTGCCACTTAATAACTGGATGAACTTGGGCAAGTAGTTTAGCTTTCTGTGCCTCAGTGTCTCCATTTGTAAAATGGGGATGACGATAATAGCAACTACCCCGTGGTATTGTGGTGAAGATTATATAGAATAGATCGATCACTTCTAGGATTACTACCTTGATGATTTCTAGGGTTGCCACCTTGCCTACTATGCCCCACCCTCTCCCTGTGTGCTGGCAGCCCGCCTCTTCCATCCATCATCCCCACTCACCAGCATCCCAGTCCTCAACCTCCTTCACTACAGTTCCTCACCCGCATCTCACCCACACTCCACCTGCCTCCTCCCACATTCTTATCCCCGCCTGCCCCAACACCCTTCCCCACACCTCCCTCCCCACCCCACAGCTTCCACAGACCCCACCGTTGCCCTCACATTCCCTCCAGTCCAGACCCTCCCCAGACCCTGAAAAGGCTGCTGACCAGCCCTGGCCAGGGATTCTGCAGCAGGGGACCATCCCCTACCACACACATGGTGTCATTTACAAAACTATTACCATCCAGTTAACTTCTCAGGTTAATGACAGATGTGATGAGATCATTTCCTTGTGATTCTCAGCTGCTTTTGGAAGTGGAAGCCTGAAATGATGGATTTTACATCTGGGCATCAAATGCCCTGAAATATGTCATAGGAGCCTGTTTTTCTCCTTCCTTCCTTCCTTCCTCCCCCCCCCCCCTTCTTTCAACTGCCTTCCTCCTCTTCCTTCTTCCTCCCTTAAGCTGAAAACCACATATCTCCTTGCACAGTACCCCTCCCTTGGTTATTTGATAAATACTTGCTTAATTGGTTGAATGCTATAATTTGATGGGCCTGACTTGCAGGTGACACAATGATGAATCAGACCCCATGCAACCCCTCCCTTACACAGCCCACAGTCCAGAAGGGGAGAGGAGATGAAGGACTCCTCAGGAGGGAAGTACATCAGGTGCCCCTCCCTGCCTCGGTCTTGGTCTCTCCATTTCTCCACTCTACTCTTTGAAAACCAACCAACCTTATGAACATGGCTGACACTGAACCCACACACAGGAACTCATGGAGAAGAACACACACATGTCATGGACTTAGCGGATGTGTAGTTTTACCTATTTGTTTAGCATCCGTACCCACAGCTCGTTCTGAAAGTTTGAGGGAATTTTCAAGTTAAACCCAATACACTTTAAGACAACTAGTGATACATGTATATATATTTATATAAATGTATATAATATACATGGGCTTCCCAGGTGGTGCTGGTGGCAAAGAACCCTCCTGCCAAAGCAGGAGATGTTAAAATATTCAGATTCGATCCCTGGGTACAGAATATCCCTTGGAGGAGGGTATGGCAACCCACTCCAGTATTCTTGCCTGGAGAATCCCATGGACAGCGGAGCCTGGCAGGCTACAGTCCATGGGGGTCTCAACGAGTTGGACATGGCTGAGGTGACTTAGCACGCACACATGCATATAATATATATACATTTATATGCACAGGCACTCTTATTCCAGCAGAGCTGAGACGCAGAGGCCAGCTGAACCGGGGAGGGTCAGTGACAATGCTCCCCACACGTCTGAGAGGTGTGGCATGGGCGGCGATACTTGGGCATGAAACGTGGCTCTGAATTACCTGGCGGCTGTGGTAAAAGGGAGGACACCGCTGCATGGCCAAAGCAAGCGCTGGACTCAGTGGAACGGTGTTCATCCCGTGGGCTCTTGGCAGAGACCAGGTGAACGGTACCAGAAGCGGCCGCCACCTCAGGAGGCTGATGCTTGCTTGTGCCTCCGCTGTCTCTGTTATGTTTCCAGCCGGGCTTCTCACCTTTGCGACTAACTCCAAGGCCACTGTCCCCGGATGTCCTGCCATCACCTCCCATGCTCTACCTGTGGGAGGGTAGACCCGCTGTCAGCTCCTGTAAACAGTGTTTCCCCCTCACTTGCCCATTTCCTGTCACCCAGGCCCACCACCTTGGTGGCCTTGTGATTCAGTGTCCCCTGACATCTGATATCAGTCCCTCCATTACCATGTCCCGGAGTCTGACTCTCCTCATTCTCTGTGCCATTATACTGGCCCCCTTAAATCCCCGCCATTGGCCTGAGCCCATTCTAATCCAGCCACATGAGGGGATACCATGTTCATCATGTCAGCTCCAGGAGAGCCCAGGGTGCCCACTGCCTCTAGACTTTGTCCAAGTTCCTCTGTCTGCTCTGCCCACCTATCCAATCCTTCCTCAAGCCTTTGAGTGGCCTGACTTCCTTCCCTTCTCTGTCTCCTTCTTCCACTGCTCCTTCTGTGCTGTCTGCTCTTGGGTTTAATTCTTAGAACCTGTCCAGGCAGGAGACATTCAAAAGCCCCTTCCTTTTGCTCTCAGGGAAGGTCAGTCTTGCCAGCACAATCATTTCTACCCCAGAGCAGGATATGGTTGGATGTAGGGTATTGAGGGAAGGCTTTATGGAAGGAGCCAGAAGGAAAGGCAGGATCTGTCTGAGACGGAATACAGCTTTCCATATGGATCTCGAGTAGTGGGAGGCTGTTCCTGGCATAAGGTATGACATGGAAGGGCACCAAAAGATGGGAGCAAAAGGGAGCTGGGAGGCAGGGGTCGATGGGGTAGATGAGAGATTGGAACAGAAGGGCATGTGAGGTGTGGCCACAAGGCAAAAATGCACTGGTCCAGTGGGTCCCGGGGACCCAGACGTGGGTTGCTTTTCTATTTGACGAACTATCCTGGGGACATACGTCCTCTTGGGAAGAACTTCAGGAAGGGGGAATGGTGCTAGGAACTCCAGCCTCCACCTACAGCCCACGTTGCATTTAAAGATCCGGTTGTTAAGTGCCTCCATACAACTGCCAGCAACAGAGCTCCTAAGAGTCCATGGTGGGAATGAGGAGCAAAAGTCCCCCGGCGGTGAGTCACACCAAGGAGGTAGGAAGGACAGAAATATCCTCCATCATGTTCCCCTCCTCCCAGCACTTCAGAGCCTTCACTGCCTTCCCACCCTGCTGGGCAGCTTACCGGAGGCACTCTTGGGACCTCCCTCAGAATCCCTTCTGATTCAGCTGGGGAGCCCTTTCCCGCCTCCTCTGGGGAGCAGGGGTACTTCTCAGGGCCTGTTGGTACTGGGGAGCCCCTTCCAGTGCCAGTTCAGTCACTCAGTTGTGTCTGACTCTTTGCGACCCCATGGACTGCAGCATGCCAGGCCTCCCTGTCCATCACCATCTCCTGGTGCTTGCTCAAACTCATGTCCAACGAGTCGGTGATGTCATCCAACCATCTCATCCTCTGTCGTCCCCTTCTCCTCCTGCCTTCAATCTTTGCCAGCATCAGGGTCTTTTCCAATGAGTCGGATCAGGTGGCCAAAGTATTGGAGTTTCAGCTTCAGCATCAGTCCTTCCAATCAGACTGATTTCATTTAGGAAGGACTGGTTGAATCTCCTTGCTGTCCAAGGGATTCTCAAGTCTTCTCCAATACCACAGTTCAAAAGCATCAATTCTTCGGCACTCAGCTATCTTTATAGTCCAACTCTCACATCCATACATGACTACTGGAAAAACCATAGCTTTGAGTAGACAGACCTTTGTTGGCAAAGTAATGCAAGGTCGGGGCAAAGTTTGAGTCTGCCTCAGTTTCCCTCCACAAATCAAGCCAGGCTCTGATGTGTGGGTTTATTTACCCCAAACCCTGATGCCAAGGCCAACAGACTCCAAGTCAGCACTCTTGAGCTTGTCACCAGTTCCATCCCTAGAGATCTCTGTGAAGGGAACGCTCTTCCCTGCCTCCATCCGGGAGGGAGCCAAGGGAGGAGGTGGCAAAAAATGTCGGAATTTGATTTCCGATGCAGACCCACTGAGAAATATTTGTGAAGCAAGCCTTGGATAATGAGTAGTTTCTCAGAATTTTAAAACACCTGCCCCTGTCGCCCTCTCCCGGGCCCCTGGAATAACTCCATGCCCAGCCAACCCCATGCAGAAATGCCACTGCAAAGCCAGGATTACTCACCTCTACCCCTTCTGCCCATCAGGCTGTCAGAAAACCTGTTTTCTGTTTCCCTTTGCTCGCTACCCCTAAGGAAGTCACTCACATCCCCTTTCCTCTCGGCAGATCAGCAGGAGCCTGAAAGTTCTCCCTTTACAGACTGCAGGACAAAGCCACCATCGGTGGGAAGTTAGAACCAGAAATTTGTCAGGCGCTTCTGAGAAAACCATTTTTTTCCCCCATTCTTTGTGATCAGAGAGGTTAAGTGACTTGCGCCAGGTCACACAGCGCAATCTAGGCAAAGCTGAGAAAAGAAGGCTCTTTCCGAAGCTTCTTCCCACCTTTGCGCGGCTCTCAGAGTGAGCCAGCATCAGAGCCAGAATAAGCCTTTCCTAGGCTCGGTGGGTGCCACGGGGCTGCCAGAATCGGGATCAGCGGGGAGCCGGTGGGCGGGCCCCGCGAACGCGCCTGCGCAATGGTACTCGTGTGTCCCTCGCGTCCCCGCGCGTGTGCCCAATGCGGGAGCCGAGGGGCGCCCCTATCTGGCCGCCAGGCTGCAGGCTTCGCTTGACACTTCTCCTCCCCTTGTGTTATCGATCGAGGCCTCTCCGAGCGCGGAGGTGGCCTGCCCGCTTCGAGGAGCTGAGTGGGTTCAACTTTTGGTGCTGAATTCTTTAAGGAAGTAGAGAAGAGAGAAATCTTCATTTAAATGCAGATACAGGCTTCTCACCTGGGACTAAGGAAAGTTTTTTCCATTAAAATGCTAATGAAAGAACAAACTGAAACTCCAAATCCTCAGCTCACAGAGATGTCTCCCGCCCCCTCCCCACCCCACCCCCAGCCCGACTCTTCACTCCATCCCCTGACCCTTCTTTGATTCTTCTCCTGGCTTTCCCTGGGACTCACACATCCTGCGGCCCTGGCCGCTGGGAGCTTTGGGCAGCTCTCTGTGAGAGACCTGTGGACCCGGCAACTCACCTTCTTGAGAGCAACCCACGCTGTAGACAGGAGAGGGGGTGAACTCCAGCCCTGGAGTCATGTCTCAGGCCACTGCTTCACTCTATGACTTAACATCTCTGACTCTTGTCTTTAAGAAGGGCAATAATGCCTACCTTGTAGAATCGATGGAGGGATTAAGTATATATATATATATATATATATATGAAGGGCATACGAGCCTGCTCGCTGGGAGGTTGCCATGACTAAGGATTCTGCAAGGCGGCCCCAGGAGTGGGGCACCGCCCCAGGCCTGCCCAGAAGCATCCTCAGGCCAGATCCTTTCCTGCACAGACGCTGACTCTCTCAGACCTGAAGCCTAGCCGGGGGCCCAGGTCCGGAGGCACACAGGTGACCATCACGGGCACCAACCTGAACGCGGGCAGCAACGTGGTGGTGATGTTCGGCAAGCAGCCCTGCCTCTTCCACAGGTAACTTAGCTCACGGCGGGCTCCAGGGATCCCAGCGCAGAGGGTGGGCGGGGCTGAGCGTGGCAGACTCCAGCTGACCTTTTGGAGGTGCTTCTTCCTTCCTGAGAAAGTGACCATTCTCTCTGAGAGGAGACTTTATGGGCATGCTTGGCTGTGGCTCAGTCCGGGGATCTGCCAGGGCTCCCTTCCCTGGATGGACCTGTCATGCTGTCTCCTACCATTTAGCCTGGATGCCCCATACCACCCACTGTGCAGGAGGACCCTAGGGTTCCATAGGACAGGGTTTGGAGTCTAGGGTACCTGCCCCCTGGGTTAGCTAGCTCCTGGGCAGCTACTGCAGGGCCAGCCAGGACTGCTAAAACCTGGCCGAGGGTCACAGAACCTCCAAAGGCACCTGACTTTCCTTTCCTTCCTCTGGTTCCACTGTCCAGTCCCAGGAGGACACACCTTCCAGGAGCTGAGCCAGGAACCTGGGGTGGGGGTGAGGGTTAGAAGGGAGGCGGGAGGTGAGAGGTACATCTACTGCACAGCTAGAAGAGGTGTGGTTGGCAGGAAGCTCTGCAGAGAGAGATTGTCCTCTGCAGAGAGAGATTGTCCTGGGAGAGCGCTATACTGAGGGCCTGATCTGAAATCAGGCCGGGCCAGACCTTGCCTGAGTGTTCCAGAAAACATGGCCCTGACACTTGTTAAAATGGTAAGTAAGAGCTTGTTCAGGACTACTGCAGTAGGTGTCGAGACTATCACAACGGAGATAGAGATCAGACTTCAAATACAGCAGACAGCTGGGGATTTATAGCCAAGGAGCAGAGTGAGGGAGGCCGAGGATGGAAAATTACTAAGAGGAAACAAGGTTAAGAGGATTCTTGCTAAACCGACTTAACAAGACTCTTGCTGAAGGCAGTCAGGGTGATCAGGTATCAAGAGTGAGGGAGGCAGAAGCTGCCCAGATATCAAGGGTATTCAGATATCAGAGTGGGGTGGGCGATTCTTACTAAATTGAGTTAGCAGGATTCTTGCTAAAAATGGGAGTAGGCAAGTGGAAGGCAGGGCCCCAGAAGGAAGCCTAGTCAAAAAAGCGGGCTCAGAGGAACCTGTCTACAGTTCAGTCAAAGACAGAGTCTTGATCAGTAGATCTCAGGGCTTAGTGTCCAGGGCAGTGCTCACCCACTGCCCCCAAGGAGTCTGATGAACCGGGAGGGGTGCAGGAGGGCCCTGACCCCAGACCGCAGTCCTGCGCGACACCCAGGAGCCCAGCTCCCCATCTCCCCTCCTCCCTCCAGGCGTTCTCCGTCCTACATCGTCTGCAACACAACATCCTCAGACGAGGTGCTGGAAATGAAGGTGACGGTGCAGGTGGACAGGGCCAAGATCCACCAGGACCTGTCCTTCCAGTACGTGGAGGACCCCACCATCGTGCGGATCGAGCCCGAGTGGAGCATCGTCAGGTAGGGGCTGTCCCGGCCTCAGGTGTCCCTCCCTCTCAGAAACCTCGGCGACAAACTGGGAGCGGTGTGGGTCAGACCTTCCTGCCGGGACTCCCTCTTTCTACTGAGAACGCCTTTGAGCGGGACCCAGCCCTGGAGGCAAGCTCTGGCCAGCAGGAGCTTACAGTCCCTGATCTGAGGATTGGTGGGCAACTAGGAAAATGGTGAGCGCTCTGGACTCTGAATCCAGCTATCTGAGTTCAAATCTCGGTGGAACCTTTGGGCTTCCCAGGTGACGAAGGAAATGAAAGGGATTCGAGTTCTCCACCCCCCATCCCTCCCCATCCTCAGGCCACCCCACTGGCTGCTTCTGCTCTGGGAGGCCATCTGGGGTCAGGAGACCGGGCAAAACATGAAGATGTGGTCTCCGCAAGCTGAGAGAGGGGTCAATGACGACTCCAGTCCAGAGAACAGTCTTTTGAACAGGGTCAGTAGACTCCAGCCCAGGGGCCAAATCTGGCTGTCTGCCTGCTTTCATAAATAAAGTTTTATTGGAACATGGCCATACTCATCCGTATATGTTTTGTCTCTAGCTGCTTTCTCACCATAGCAGCAGAGCTGAGTAATTACAACAGACCACATGGCCCCGAGGAGCCTGAAAGATTTACTCTCTGGCCCTTTACGGGAAGTTTGCCACCTGGCCTTACACACCCAGACGAAAGGCAGCCTCTGGGAGCCTTTGTTGTCCTCAACTGTTACTCTCTCTAAGGCCCAGGGCTTATAAGTTTTAACTGTAACCTGAAAGCAGATAAATATAAAACACAGAGAGGGGCAAAGAGCCTGTAAAAACTATTCCAGGATTTGCCCCCAGGGCCTGGTGAGTCCAGGAAGTTGGCATGGCCCCCTGTTCTTAGACAAACTCTATGGTTCCCCAAGGCATTCACAGCCTAATTTAATTCAGCTCTTCCTCGTGTCGCTGTCACAGAAATAGAGGTGTTAGAGGTGTTGGCCTTCCCGGTGCTCGGCAGTCACCCCAAGTCACCCTCACATTGAGAGGAAGGCTGGAGGTGCGTTCTGAGTGGCTGAGGCTCCAGGAGGGGGTGTCACTGCAGTTAACGAAGTTTGGAATGGGAGTGGGGCTCTGCAGACCTCTAGAATTTCCACTGCTTGCAGCTGCCGGAGTTACTGATCAACAGTGATGGGGTGATGGGGGCATTTGATAAACGTGTGTGGAACTGAGGAATGAGAGAAGATCAGGAGATGGCTGGACACTGGAGGCTCATTTGCCAGCCTTCCTGGGGGCAGAGAGCCTCTGTGGGTCTCACCAGAATCTTCCTTCATGTGCGTGCGTGTGTGTGCATGTGTATTTCAGATGGGACAGGTGGAGGGCAAGAGGAAGAGAGGGCAGTAATGAATAGAGTGGTAGAGATGAATGTGCATGTCAAGGATTCTTTACCCTCAATCTTATACCCACTTACCCGTTTTAAGTAGGTTCTTCTCAGTGATATGCCCCTGATTGTAGGTAACTCGATTCATCACTTCCCTTTGAGTAGCCCCCAAGGAAGTCAGCCCCCACCCCATGCCAGCACATCTCAGTGGCACTGAGGGTAGGACAGTGGCATCCAGGTTTCCAATGCAAAGCTACCCAAAGACAAATCCTGTGATCTCTCCTATCGGCAATCCTCCAGCCAACCCCCGCCCAGGGTGCAAGAGCCCTGGAGTGTTTCATATTTGCATTCTTACAGGAGGTTCCTGAGTGTCTGAGCCTCAGCCTTTCCCAGGTCCCAGCCAGCTGAAGCCTCTAAGGTAGAAATTTGTAGTGTGATTGTCCTGTGCTTAGACTTTGGAGGGTCTGGTAGAAGATGGTCTGGAGCAAGGCCAGTGTGAAGAAAGTTCCATGAGAGTAGGAAGGGCAGGGGAAGAGACCCCAGGGGGGCTACAGAGAAGCAGCTGGCTCAGGTCAGGAGGCTGGGGCAGGGGGCAGCAGCGGGGAAGGGGCAAGAGGGCCGTGCTGCAGGTCTAGCCTCCGTGGGGCGTCCACACTCTGAATGAGCTCAGCACAGGATGGCTGCGGACATCTGGTCATCACTGTCTTCCCCTTGGCTGCTGAGAGCGCATCCTTATTATTATACAGTCACTTGTCATCTCATCCCCATGAACGTCGTCATGCCTCCCGGTTATCACTGTCTTCAGTGCCAGAGCTCAGCCTGATTGACTGTCATCATCATCATCTTTGTGCTCAAGTCATTACTATTCCCGCCCCTGTCTTTACATGCCTTCTTTCTTCCCGGTCAGTGGGAACACACCCATCGCCGTGTGGGGGACTCACCTGGACCTCATACAGAACCCCCAGATCCGGGCCAAGCATGGAGGGAAGGAGCACATCAATGTGAGTCCCAGCCTGGCAGGCTCAGGGTGGGGGGCTGCCCTAGAGGATGTGGGGCTCTCTGGGGACTCAGGCAGGCTCATCTCAGACACTGATGACTCATCACGTGCAACGCCCCCGGACACTGGGATGGTGGGATGGGGGAGCAGGCATGAGGCCACTTCCACACCCTGGCTAAAGGCATGGAGGAGCCATTGCTCCTGGGTTGCTAGGGTTTCAGACCCTCTTCCTTCCTCCTCTGACCTGCAGTGCCACTCCTTAGCTTAGAGATAGCCTCGTGCCTGCCACAGCTGCTATGGGCAGAGCAGAGCAGAGGTAGGGGCCAGCTGCAGAGCTTGTCCTTGAGTGTCCAGGTCAGGCAGCTGGGACCCATCTATGACGGTCCCGTGCCAACACCATGGTGCAACACCACGGAGGGAGGCCCGGTGGGTGTGCATGTGTATTTCAGATGGGACAGGTGGAGGGCAAGAGGAAGAGAGGGCAGTAATGAATAGAGTGGTAGAGATGAATGTGCATGTCAAGGATTCTTTACCCTCAATCTTATACCCACTTACCCGTTTTAAGTAGGTTCTTCTCAGTGATATGCCCCTGATTGTAGATAACTCGATTCATCACTTCCCTTTGAGTAGCCCCCAAGGAAGTCAGCCCCCACCCCATGCCAGCACATCTCAGTGGCACTGAGGGTAGGACAGTGGCATCCAGGTTTCCAATGCAAAGCTACCCAAAGACAAATCCTGTGATCTCTCCTATCGGCAATCCTCCAGCCAACCCCCGCCCAGGGTGCAAGAGCCCTGGAGTGTTTCATATTTGCATTCTTACAGGAGGTTCCTGAGTGTCTGAGCCTCAGCCTTTCCCAGGTCCCAGCCAGCTGAAGCCTCTAAGGTAGAAATTTGTAGTGTGATTGTCCTGTGCTTAGACTTTGGAGGGTCTGGTAGAAGATGGTCTGGAGCAAGGCCAGTGTGAAGAAAGTTCCATGAGAGTAGGAAGGGCAGGGGAAGAGACCCCAGGGGGGCTACAGAGAAGCAGCTGGCTCAGGTCAGGAGGCTGGGGCAGGGGGCAGCAGCGGGGAAGGGGCAAGAGGGCCGTGCTGCAGGTCTAGCCTCTGTGGGGCGTCCACACTCTGAATGAGCTCAGCACAGGATGGCTGCGGACATCTGGTCATCACTGTCTTCCCCTTGGCTGCTGAGAGCGCATCCTTATTATTATACAGTCACTTGTCATCTCATCCCCATGAACGTCGTCATGCCTCCCGGTTATCACTGTCTTCAGTGCCAGAGCTCAGCCTGATTGACTGTCATCATCATCATCTTTGTGCTCAAGTCATTGCTATTCCCGTCCCTGTCTTTACATGCCTTCTTTCTTCCCGGTCAGTGGGAACACACCCATCGCCGTGTGGGGGACTCACCTGGACCTCATACAGAACCCCCAGATCCGGGCCAAGCATGGAGGGAAGGAGCACATCAATGTGAGTCCCAGGCTGGCAGGCTCAGGGTGGGGGGCTGCCCTAGAGGATGTGGGGCTCTCTGGGGACTCAGGCAGGCTCATCTCAGACACTGATGACTCATCACGTGCAACGCCCCTGGACACTGGGATGGTGGGATGGGAGAGCAGGCATGAGGCCACTTCCACACCCTGGCTAAAGGCATGGAGGAGCCATTGCTCCTGGGTTGCTAGGGTTTCAGACCCTCTTCCTTCCTCCTCTGACCTGCAGTGCCACTCCTTAGCTTAGAGATAGCCTCGTGCCTGCCACAGCTGCTATGGGCAGAGCAGAGCAGAGGTAGGGGCCAGCTGCAGAGCTTGTCCTTGAGTGTCCAGGTCAGGCAGCTGGGACCCATCTATGACGGTCCCGTGCCAACACCATGGTGCAACACCACGGAGGGAGGCCCGGTGGGTGGCTGGGGCTGTGCAAGTGTGGAGACCCAAGACATAAACCTCCTTCTCCGGCTCCTCCCCAGCTCTGCGAGGTTCTGAACGCCACTGAGATGACCTGCCAGGCTCCGGCCCTCGCTCTGGGACCCGACCACCAGTCTGACCTGACAGAGAGGCCCGAGGAGTTTGGCTTCATCCTAGACAATGTCCAGTCTCTGCTAATCCTCAACATGACCAACTTCACCTACTACCCCAACCCTGTGTTTGAGGCCTTTAGCCCCTCGGGAATCCTGGAGCTTAAGCCCGGCACACCCATCATCCTGAAGGTAGATTGATGGGGGAAGTAGGAGGTATGCAAGGGGAGGCTTTCCGTGCTCCCAGGAAGAGGCCAGGAGTCATGGCCTTTTTCCAGATCTCATGGTGGCATCACTAGCTAGCAGAGGTTGTGTTACAGCCCAGACTATGGTAAACACTCCCCATGAGTCTGTACTAAGATGCGCACTCTCTTTGTGGGTCATAAAAGCCTAGTCAGGGCAGCCGGATCCACGCTGGCCATCTGACTCCCAGCTTTGTCTCGAATCCAGGACTTGGAAGGTCAAAGACTCATACTGCTTCCTCTTGCAAAGCCCTTTGCAAACCACCTTCTAGGGCTTCTTTGCAGCATGGATAATAAATTAATTTTAACTCATATGACAATTTGAATCAACTGGTAGTGACTGACTACAGCTCTGTGTTGAGAAAGATTCTGAGGCTGCCTTTGGGAGAAGCTGAAAAGAGTGCCTTGATTATTGATTCCCACTGAGGAAAGGGGAATAGTAGTATGGTAGTATAGACGTTAAGCATTTTTTGGACTTAACTAGGGAAGGTGGCCTCTCCACCAGCTCCCCAGAAGGATGGGGCCTCGGGGTGGGAGGACATGGTGGCCAACCAATATCTGTGCTCCTGACTCTGGAGTGGGGACTTGGGTGCTTCTGTCCATGCAGGGCAAGAATCTGATCCCACCTGTTGCTGGGGGCAACATGAAGCTGAACTACACTGTGCTGATTGGGGAGAAGCCGTGCTCCGTCACGGTGTCGGATGTGCAGCTGCTCTGCGAGTCCCCCAACCTCATCGGCAGGCATAAAGTGATGGTGAGGCTGGTGAGACCCACTCCAGATGGGCGGGCACCAGGGATGCTGTCAGGCGAGTGGTCCCGCTCCATCCTGGGCCACTGGAGCTTTCCGAGAGGGGATTCTGGCTTTCTTGAACTTTCCTCCTGGCTCGCCCACACACCCCAGTTTCTTCTCCCATCTCACTTCAGATTTCTTTCTTCTGTATTGTCATTCTCTCCACACTGGCTGGTGCTACAGTAAGGGCAATGCCAAACAGCATCCCGTGATGTACTCAGTCACCGTTGGGCTTCCCAGGTGACTTGGTGCTAAGGAACCCACCTGCCAATGCAGGAGAAATAAAAGGCATGGGTTTGATCCCTGGGGTCAGGAAGATCCCCTGGAGAAGGGGATGGCAGCCCACTCCAGTATTCCTGCCTGGAGAATCCCATGGACAGAGGAGCCTGGCGGGCTACAGTCCATGGGGTCGCAAAGAGTCAGACACGACTGAGCACACACGCACGCAAGTCACCTGTTAGAAGCAAGAGATGCTTCCCAGGGAGGACCGCTGTTGGCCCAGGCTGGACATAATGTTATGTCCTGTGCCCGAGTCATCTGTCCTCAGGATGGGATGAGTCTTTGGGGAGCCAGTCTTTGAGGTCATGTAGGATTTTTTTAGATTCCAGTTGAATGCCATTTCCTCATGAAGATGGCCATGTTTGCTCCTGAATAAAATGATGCGTGGCTTTTCCAGTTCTGGGGGAAAGCTAAGCTATCCATCCTCCCTCTGCCCCTGATGCCCGCTCGTCTGCTTTCACAGCCAGTGATAATCCTCCTCCCTGGAGCCATTTCCCTCATCCAGCCCTGGTCCCCGGCTCACTGGTGGCTTGGGTCTGTTCCCTGGGATGCTCTGTGCCCACACCCAGCTCCCTCTCCCCTCGCCTGTCCCCACCTAGGCCCGAGTCGGTGGCATGGAGTACTCCCCGGGGATGGTATACATAGCCCCGGACAGCCCACTCAGCCTGCCCGCCATCGTTAGCATTGCTGTGGCCGGCGGCCTCCTTATCATCTTCATCGTGGCTGTGCTCATCGCCTACAAGCGCAAGTCCCGCGAGAGTGACCTGACCCTGAAGCGGCTGCAAATGCAGATGGACAACCTGGAGTCCCGCGTGGCCCTGGAGTGCAAGGAAGGTAGGAGGGAGTGGTGGGACGTCGGGTGTGTGTGCTCATGTGTGTCTGTGTGCGCATCTTCCACACCAGCAGCAGTGGGCAGTGCTAGGCCTGGGTCTCCTGCCTTCAGAACCCCTACCTCAAACCAGGTAGGGATCATTTCAAACCGCACTAGAGCCATTTCTAGGCGGCTCAGACAGTAAAGAATCTGCCTGCAATGCAGGAAACCCAGGTTCAATTCCGTGGAGAAGGGAATGGCTACCCACTCCAGTGTTCCTGCTTGAAGAATTCCATGGACAGAGCATCATTGCGGGTTACAGTCCATGGAGTCGCAAAGAGTCGGACTCGAGAGCGACTCACACTAGAACTAGAGCCGTGTCCAGCCCAGGATCCTGGCCAGGATGGCTTTGGCAGTCTCTTCTCAGGGAGACCCAGCAGTGTCCTACCATGACACACTCAAGCAATCTTCAGCTCTCCTCCTTCAGAAGGAAGGTAAGGCTGGAGGGCTGATCTGAGACTTAGAGGAAAGAGTATTTCACAGCTTATATATTTTTTAAAAAATTACCAACAACACCATGAAGTGCAATCAGCCACACTAAATCCAAGAAGGAAATTTAGGAGTCAGAGTCTTGTCACCCCCAGGATATCATTTGTGAGTCACCCTGCAAGGGTCTGAGCTGGTTCTTTGTGGAGCTTTATACATGGAGTGATCAGACTGTACCTGGGGCTCTGGCATTCCCACCGGGAGGCCACGGTTCTCGGATGGGGAAGCGAACCTCTTCCACCCTCTCCACATCTTCAGCTGTCAACACAGCATCCGCCTTGTGGGACTGTTAATTACCGCCTTTTATTATATTTATGCTGCTTAATTTTTTTCTCCGCAATGTACTCTTCCCTCTAATTAGGTATAGTGATTAGAATCTCTTTTATGTATGCCAGGCGTGAGGCTTTGAATATTGGAGGCGCTCGGTGACTTGAAGGAAAGCTGCAGACCTATAAAAAGCCAACCGCCTCCTTCTCCTCCCGCCAGCTGAGCCCCCCAACTGGGAGGGGGGCACAAGGAGAGCCTGAAGCTGGGTCCTTCTCGGAAGACATTCCGAAGAAGGAGGAATTAGCGGTCACACAGTGGCTTCCGGCTCAGGAGAGGGCCGTCTCTCGTTGGTGGGAGATGATAGAGCAAAGGACACATAGGATTGGCCTTGGAGGTATTTTCAGGTGTGCCCAGAGCCAGCTCTTGAACATTGAAAGGGCCAACTGGGTCCAGGGAAGGCAACCTCCCAAAGACTTGACAATGAGCCAGGCCGTAACCCAGTCACAGACTCAGAAGAGGCCCTGCCTGGGTCCTCGCTGGCCTGACCTTCGGTTGTATAAACACACATATGCGTGCACACACACCCGCAGACACTCGCTGACTCATACTCAGGCGGTCACTCATGCCCTCACACACCTCTACAGTCATGCCCATGCACACACACATTTCCACAGACAGACACACACACGTGTGTTCCTCACTCGGCACACACAGGAGTGCTCATCAGGGCTTTTGGTGACAGCACTTCTCAGAAAGGCTCACTGACTCCCCTTTCACACACGCTGGTGTAAGCTCATACATATTGGTGCAGGTTCCATTCAGTTGTGTTAGGGTTACTCTGCCTTCTGAATCATTTTTCTTTGCAAGGGCCCCCCTATTCCCCATGTCAGTGTGACCAGGGGTGCAGAGAGAGAGAGCAACACCGAAGGGGTCTACAGTAGCCTCTGAGGGGTCCTGGGACCTTCCCATTGTTCAAACAAGAAACATTGGTATCCTCAAGGATCTGAGACCCAGGGTCACAGACAGGAAGTCAGCACTTCTGGGGGCAGTGGGGCCCACTGACAGTGCCTGGGCAGCTGTATTATTGTCATGTCATCAGCAGAGCCCACTGGGCATAGGACTGGCATTTTCAAGGGCCCTGGACCTACACGGGGCTTGTGAATTCCTTCTGAGCTCACAAAAAGCATTTTTTTTCCTACTTTTGTCTGTATAAATAGAAAGAAATATTGCCTAATCAACGTCCACTGGCTGTTCTTTGCAGGTGTATTTTAATCCATCGTGGTATGAGGTGTGTTTGTGCGCATGCACACACACATTTGCATGCATGTGTGTATGCGTGCATTTGCACGTGCTGAGGGAGAAGATGGAGGCGGGAAGGACCAAGCACATTACTTCTGACAACCTCCTGGGGAGGAGGGCTGTACCCAGGACAGAGTGTGATCACATGGCTGTGTGACAATGGGTCCATGTACGGAACTTTCTCGGGGGGCCCTGGGGGTTGTTCTTGCAACTTCAGGACCATCTGGAGGTCTGGGCTCTCCCCACAAACAGTGGTACCCATCTGCAGATCATGACTCACCACTGGGTAGCATCACCTTGAGCAAGAAAAGACAAAATGATATCCTCTGTGTTTATCCAGGAGGGATGTATCAGTTGGGTAGAGCCTTCGTCTAGCCCCATTTGGTGGTTTGATGGCTCCAGTAATCTTCAAGGCCAAGAACTGGGATTTTAAAAGAAATCATTCCTAACTATAAGGAAAACCCACTGTAAAGCACAGAATCCAGAGCAGACCCTCTGGAACCTCTCCCTCACTCCCCATGTCCTTTCACATCCCCCTTCCCCTCCATGTATTTTGCGAGAGCCAAAGCCCTTGTCTTCAGAGTGGGAGGTCCTCATGGCCCCAGCAACAGCACAGATCTGTGGACCTTCTGGCCCCCAGTCATGTTTTGAAAGGATCTGACCCAGGACAAGCTTCTTCATTCTGCATCTTTCTCTCGTTCCTATATTGTTCACCTCAGCTGCATTAAACAGCCCCTCCTATTCCTACACTACTGTGGTCCATCATGCAGGTCTCAGGGGCCTGGGAGAGGGTTCTGAGTGTTGCGAGGCAGAGTAGCTCTTGAGCTGGCCCCACGCAACAGTCTCATGAGCTTGTCTCTGTTATCTGGAGGTCTGGGCTATCCCCACAAACAGTGGTACCCATCTGCAGATCATGACTCACCACTGGGTAGCATCACCTTGAGCAAGAAAAGACAAAGTGATATCCTCTGTGTTTATCCAGGAGGGATGTATCAGTTGGGCAGAGCCTTCATCTGGCCCCATTTGGTGATTTGAAGCCTCCAGTAATCTGCGAGGCCAAGAATAGGGACTTTAAAAGAAATCGTTCCTAATTATAAGGAAAAGCCACTGTAAAGCACAGAATCCGGAGCAGACCCTCTGGAACCTCTCCCTCACTCCCCATGTCCTTTCACATCCCCCTTCCCCTCCATGTATTTTGCAAGAGCCAAAGCCCTTGTCTTCAGAGTGGGAGGTCCTCATGGCCCCAGCAACAGCACAGATCTGTGGACCTTCTGGCCCCCAGTCGTGTTTTGAAAGGATCTGACCCAGGACAAGCTTCTTCATTCTGCATCTTTCTCTCGTTCCTATATTGTTCACCTCGGCTGCATTAAACAGCCCCTCCTATTCCTACACTACTGCGGTCCATCATACAGGTCTCAGGGGCCTGGGAGAGGGTTCTGAGTGTTGCGAGGCAGAGTAGCTCTTGAGCTGGCCCCACGCAACAGTCTCATGAGCTTGTCTCTGTGCCAGCCTTTGCCGAGCTGCAGACAGACATCCACGAGTTGACCAGTGACCTAGACGGAGCCGGGATTCCCTTCCTGGACTACAGAACCTACACCATGCGGGTGCTGTTCCCGGGAATTGAAGACCACCCCGTCCTCCGGGACCTCGAGGTGAGAAGCAGTCGCCATGGTCGAGTCCTTTCCCGTCACAGTGTCCGTGCAGAGAGAGACATCGGTGACCAAGTCCAGCCCCCTCATTCAGAGGAGGGTCAGCTGAGGCCACGGAAGGGACAGGACCTTGTGGTGCCAGTCTGTCCCTTGGGACGAAAGGGATCTTGGAGCAGAGGTGAGAGTAGGGCTTTGAGTCTTAAGGGACTGTGGATCCCCTGAGAATTAGATGGAAGTCAAAGACCTTTCCCCCCCCAAAAAAACCTGTCCATGTAAATACACAGAAACAGGAAATCTGGCAACAATGTAGGGGGTTTGTGAACCCTTGTTTAAGAAACCACAGTATAAAGGACTTCACCACTTAGTTGGTGCTCAATAAATAAATGTGGAAAAGATAACTGCTGTGCTCAGGAGGGAGGTGGGAATGTGAATGATAAGAATGTAACTGCCTTTGTACCAGCAGGGACCTCATCCTGTGAACGCTTTATCCCACTTACTGTCTAGTGTAGTGTCTGGCTTATGCATATATTCATATTACGCTTTGTTCTGAAAGGGATTTGGAATGACTTATAAAGATAAACACCAGAGAAAAGCGAAACATATAAATGAGGAAACCAGGGCAAAGTAGTAATCCTAAAGAATAATTGCCCTGAGTTGACTGCTGACTAATATTCTGGTCCGGTTTTCAGTACTTTACATGTACACATTGATGTAACCTCCCAGGAGCCCTCAGAAGCAGGTACACCCATTTCACAGGTGATAAAACTAAGATTACACAACAGGGAGGGAGTGGGGCTGGGATTTGAGTCCAGCGGGTAGACTCCAGAGTCTGTATTCTTAAGGATGAGGCTATACACTTGGCTTCTCAGAGACTATGTCCATGTCATGGTTTATGGCTCTGGAGACTTCTTTGGATGGATCAAAAATCTTCAGCCAGAGCACCACGGAAGACAAAACTAATTCCATGTTTATATTGTCCATAACCTAGAACAGACCTGTTACTTGAAGTACACTGTTAAGCAGGTGGTGACCCCCTTGGGAATGTCTGCATGGGTTCTCCAAGTGGAAACACAACAAGTCCCCAGTGCTCGGGGCCCACATGTTTCTCTGACTTGATTGTGGAATGAAGCACAGGAGCATGTGTGTGTGTGAGTGTGTGTGTGTGCATGTGTCTGTGTGTATGACTTTTGAGTGGACTATGCATACCTTATTTATCTTTGTCTTCCATACCTTTCATATCTTTGTCTTGCATACCTTATTTATCTATTGTGTCTTCCAGCAACAGTGCTCAGCACATAGTAGGCATGCAGGAACTGCTGAATGATTTGACTAGATGAATGTATGTCTGTTTGAAATAGGGTAGAAATGGCAGTCCTAGGAAGGGAAGTTGTGTTTGAACATGCCCATACCCCTCAAAATAAGAATTCAACTAGGATGTGTACATAAAGTTATTCTCTCTTTTTCACTAGCTCGAAATTCCAAGTAGATTTCCCTTAAGCATTTAACTTTTAAATCAGATTTGCTGAGACCACTTCTAAGCCAGCATCCCTGGAGGGCAGCCTGAATACTTTGGAGCAGGGCTGGGGTACAGCCTTCTCCCACACAATGGATGCATACTCACTCCACATTGCTTTCCTAACCAGTCTTATGGCCTAGATTATAAAGCATGCCACATCCTATGTATGATCTTATTCCTCATTTGATCCTATCTCATGTCTTTCCCACCTGCCCTTGCATCTCCGTAAATATTTTGTTTTGTTGTTTTAAGATTTTTGATGTGGACCATTTTTAAAGTCTTTATTGAATTTGTTACATCATTGCCTCTGTTTTATGTTTTGGTATTTTGGCCATGAAGCAGGTGAGATCTTAGCTCCGCAACCAGCTCCCCAACCAGGGATCATACCCACATCCCCTGCCTTGGAAGGCAAAGTCTTAACTACTGGACCACCAAGGAAGTCTCTCTGGAGATGTTTGGATTGTCAGGCCTGGCTTGGTGCTGGAATAGTGATCACCCAAGAGCAGTACATGCCAAAGGACTGCTCCAGGTGGCGGAGGGAAGTTTCAGGGCTCATCCCCCCACAGGATGTTGTGGGTGGTGGTGCAATTGAACACGGCACTGCTCCAGACTGCACTGATCATATGCAGCACTTCCTGGAATTGTGCAGTGCACAGCCTGCCTCACTGTCCATAGCAGCCCTGTTTGCCCAGGACCAGAATCCTAATGATTCCCTCCCATTGCTTTTCTGAACTGTACCCGGCCCTTTGCTGAAAGCTGGTGGCATCCTTACCCAGCAGCACTTCCCTGGGCCTTTCCTTGAGAGCTAGTTCTCCTAGAGAAGCTGCTGCCCAAGTCCTAGCCTTAATCCTCAGCAAGGTGCACAGTCCACTAGCCCTACCCAGCAAGCTGGGCTCAACAGACAGAAACTCTGGGCCTCCTCACACCAGCCCCAGGCCGCCAAGCATGGAGCCAGCTCCCTCCCCCACTGTGCACTGCCCTGGCCCTGCCTGCCTTGTCCCCCTGCATCTAAGGCACCCCCTACACAGAGGCTTCTGGGGCTGCAGAATGAATGGCAGCAGACTCCTTCCTCTGCCCAGAAAACTTCATGAGTCCTTGTTCAGTACAGTCCAGAGCACTGAACTGTACTTCACTTCATGGGGACACCACCCACCCTGCAGGCTGGACGCACAGGAGGGCACATCCAGGGCTGCACCACCAGGAGTCCCTGACGACCCCCCCCCCACACCCACCCATCTGTCAGGGGCTGTGGAATGAACTCAGTCCATGGAGGGCTGCAGAAGAAAGCCTCTGAGAATCAGGGCTGTTGGATTCTGCCGATGACCTGACCAGCCTGTATGACCTCCTGGATGCTCTCTGTGTGGATACCCCATCTATGCCTGAGACTGTTCCTATGGCTGCCCGTTACAAGTCACCTCATGTCCTGCCATAGTCTTGTTCCTCATGGGGTACCTTAAAATCTCCCCTCCAACCTGAGGCTTCAGTCTTGTCCTTGCCTTTATCACGAGGGGAGACTTTCTGGTCCTACCCTCGTGCTCAGGAAGGAGTTAACAGCCTTGTTAACACAGACTTGTAAAAATTCTGGCAAAATATACATAACATAAAATTTACCATTTCAACCATTTTTAAGTGTACAACTCAGTAGCATTAAGTTCACTCACATGATCGTGCAACCATCATCACCATCCATCTCCAGAACTGTTTCATCTTGCCCACCTGAAACGCTGTACCCACTGAAGACTAACTCCCCACTCCCCTCGCCCAGTGCCTGGCAACCACCCTTCTACTTAGTGTCTCTATGAACTTGACTACTATGAGTACCTCGTATGAAAGTGAAAGTCGCTCAGTCGCGTCTCACTCTTTGTGACCCCATGGAGTATACAGTCCATGGAATTCTCCAGGCCAGAATACTGGAGTGGGTATAGCCTTTCCCTTCTCCAGTGGATCTTCCCAACCCAAGGATTGAACCCAGGTCTCCTGCATTTAGCCGGATTCTTTACCAGCTGAGCCACAAGGGAAGCCCAAGAATACTGGAGTGGGCAGCCTATCCCTTCTCCAGCAGATCTTCCTTACCCAGGAATCAAACTGGGGTCTCCTGCTTTGCAGGCAGATTCTTTACCAACTGAGCTATCAGGGAAGCCCATATCTCATATAGGTGGGATCATAGAGTATTTGTCCTTCTGTGACTAGTTTTTTTCAGTTAGTAAAATGTTTTCAGGGTTCACCTGTGTTGTACCATGTGATAGAATTTCTTTCCTTTCAAGGCTGAATAATAGCCTGTTGTGTGTAAAGACCATATTATGTTTATCCATTCATCTCTCAGTGGACATTTGGGCTAGTGTGAATAATGCAGCTATGAACATGAGGGTACAAATATCTGTTGAAGCCCCTGCTTCCATCTTTAGGGTTCTATATGTAGAACACAGGAGTTTCTCATTTCCATTGAACTCATTCATTGATTTCTTATGGACAGAAATTGCCTTTTACTGTTCCACATTAGCCTGGGGCTGTGTGAGATCCAGCCTCCTACGCACTGTGCAGAGATCTCGTGTGGATCACTCTTTGTTTCCAGCCTCTCCCTGCTTCTGGATTAGTTTCTCCCTGTTGGTTTTCCAGGTTTGGAAACATTCCCAGGGAAGCCACTGACTAACCTAAAGCAGGGTCTCCATCTTCTCAGTTGCCGGGATGGGCATGAACGGTCAGTGCTTGTGAAGAAGATGGGGTCCTCTGGCTTCAGGCCACCCCGGAGGTCAGGCCCCCCAGGCCCTCTCTTTTATGACAATCTGAGTGCAGTCTGGGCCTTCAGATAAGGGGCTGCCCAGACACTGGTTACACACCAATCCTTTAAAGACACAGGGCAAACAGTAACCGCACACCTTGTTTTCCATCTATCCTTGCCTCCTAAACTCTAACCTATTGGGTTACAATTAAAATTTACTATCCAGTTTTATTCTCACAGACTTCAACTAAATTATCGAACCATCTGGTGAATAAAGAAACTCTTGTTTCAGCGTGCCATTTGCTTAGGAGGTGGGGGTGGCAAGTTACAGAGGGGAATTGTTCTGGATACTTTTTACCAAGATACTTCGCTTCCTTCTCCTCTTCATAAAATTGGGGAGAAAATGCCTACTTTCTGCCCCCGGACACTGTGCCAAGGCATTAGGTACCTTGGATCAGTGAAAACAGCCAAGGGAGGAGAGGCAGGTAATAAAACTGCTGCTGTCTCAGTGCGTTCTGTGTGTGCCAAGCACTTTACATACATTATCTTATTTAATGTTCATAAAACATTATGACATAGGCACTCATATTCTCATTTTATAGATGAGGCAGTAGAGCCCAGAGGTGACAGAGCCTTCCTCCGTGTACAAGTCTGTTAGTCTCTCTGATTCCATATGCTTGCTGCTACAGGGATGCTCTTTCCCTGCAGGTCATTTTGCTGAATCTTCCTGCCCAGGGCCCTGGCCTTGTTGCCTGGAAGGAGCATGCAGCCAGGGCAGGGAGTCCAGAGCCAGTCCTCCCCTCCTCCCCCTCCTCCCCCTCCTGCCCTGTGCTTGGTTCCCCTGTCCTCCTCCCACCTCCCTCCCAAGGGAGCTCCAGGAGGCCTGGCAGGGGGAGACTTGGAGCTGGCTGTCAGTCACCTCCCCCAGGCCCAGGGGTAGGATACACTGGCCAAGGATGCAGAGGATGGCCAGGGACTAGGAGCCAAACAAGCTGGGGTTTGGCAATGCAGCCCTGCCCTCCACCAGCTGCCTGGCCTTGAGAAACCGCAGTGGCTTCCCTGAGAGGCGGCTGTTAAAGGGGTCACAACTCACCCTCGCAAGGTCATGAGAGGGCTTTGTTTGACTGATGCGTGCAATGTGCCAGGACTGTCCTTTGCACAATGCAGGAGCCTGAGAAATGACGTTACCTCTCATCATCATCAGGACAAATTAGAGAGATGTTGTTCTGAGGGGTCTGAAGGCGAGAGGAAGTAAAACGTGCACACGTGTGTGGGAGGGGCTATCTCAGGGCGAGGGTCAGAGGAGACAGTGGACAGATTGAGGCCCTGCCTGATGGCACAGTGAGGTGGCTGTGTCCCCCTTGCCCTTCACTCAAGAGCCCCTGTGGAGTGTGGGACTCAAAGAGCCAGGCCGGAGGTAAGCTGAGGTTGGAGACCTTGAGAGGGTTGCCAGGAGGGGCTATGCTGAGAGTCAGGATGAGCCCTGGGGGGCCTTATCCAGCACCACCCTGGCTCTGGCGAGTTCCTGTCTCTCCTGAGAACTGACCGGAGAGGTACCAGCCCTCCATGTACCAGCACAGCAGCAAAGGAAATACAAATGAACCCAGTTTGGAAACCCGCCTCTTCCTGACCTGTGTGAGCTTCTGATGCCAGGCAGCAGGAGTTCTGTGCGCGTGCTTCTCTGAAGAGTTCAGGGGTCAGGGCTTCCCCCACTGAAGGGACTGCATGATTCCTGGCTGACGATTGGAGGGGAGGGCCTGGGCCTGACTGGACTCTGCTTCAGCCAGCACCAAGCCCCGAGCCCAGAACACAAGGCGGCACCATAAATGAGTGGCAGGAACTTTGCAGCTCTGTGTCTGCCAGCTTCGTGGACCTTGGCAAATGGGGTTTCTCTGGCCACCTCCATCCCCCCTCCCCAGTTTAAAATCTCTAGAGGGAAGCAAGATACACTCAATAGCCGGACTGTGGTCATGCCGAGCGTTTTCACATGTCTCGTTCAGCGCTCTCAGAAGCCCTGGGAGGGGGAAGGACACCATGCCGCTGCCCACTTCATGGCCCAGCTCTGACACTTTTCTGTCTTGGGATCTTGGAAAGTTTCTTATCCTCATGGGGCCCTGGGGTAATAAGGGCCCCTGCCTCATAGGCTGTTGTGTGGATTACATGGTCAGTATTTCTAAAGTATGAGGAACCGTGCTTGGCATAGATAAGATTTGTATATGTATTAGCTGCAGTACCTTCTTGTCACTGATAAAGGAACTGAATCTCCTAAGGGTTCTGGAATTCATAAGTGGCTGTGATGGAGTTAATGCAAGCTTGACAAACACTGAAACTGTGTCCTTTACTTCTCCATACACAACACTCCTTCCCAAGGACCTGGCACATCTACCCTCCCCACATCCTTCAAGACAAGGCTTCAAAGTCACCTCCTATGGGTGCCCCCCGCCCCCAGTGCATCCCTCCCCAGCAGAAGCTGTGCTTCATTTCTTAAACGAACTTTTTATTTTCATGGAAGCGTACAGACAGAAGGCTTCCCTGGTGGCTCAGACAGAAAAGAATCTGCCTGCAATGCAGGAGATCCGGGTTCGATCCCTGGGTCGGGAAGACCCTGGAGAAGAGAATGGCTACCCATTCCAGTATTCTTGCCTGGAGAATTTCATGGACAAAGGAGCCTGGTGGGCTACAGTCCATGGGGTCGCTAAGAGTCAGACACGACTGAGTGACTAACACACACACACACATGCAGATAGAGCAATGCACAAATGATCAGAACACAGCTCAGCGCATTTTCCCCAAGTGAACACAGCCGTCAAGCAGCGCACAGACTAAGAAGCAGAATTTTACAGTCTCCAAAAGTTCCCCGGAGCCCCGTTCCAGTCACAGTCACCACCCAGAAAACCCTTTTTCTTCCATTATTGAAGAATTGTAATTTTTTTTAATCTGGGTTTAAATGACATTATGCTCTCTTTCCCACCTGACTTTTTTCTCTCAATGTGTTTACAAGAGTCATTCCTGTTGTGAGTGGCAATAGGCCCTTCCTCCATGCTGCCCTGAAGCACATCCTTGGGTAAATGTACGACAGTTCCTGGAGCTCTCTTACTGTTGCCTGACCTCTGGCCGTTTCTGATTTGGGGCGTGACGCATGGTACCACCGTGCCTGACCTCATGCAACTCAGAGCTGCTGCTCCCATGCCTGGCTGAGTTGCTAGCTCATGTTGGCTGAGTGGATGGGACACCCTTGCACGGATCTCCCAAATGGACAGAAGATGCAAGCAGGAAGATAAAACCCTCTTCCTCCCCCTCCCCAGCATGGAGCAGGGTCTCAGAAGGAATTTCTAGGAAAACGACAAATGCTAGAGTTAGGCAGTGCCTGAGAGGCTCTTGGGCTTAAACTTCCCCTTTTTTCGAGTGAATGAACTCAGAGAAGTTCATTCATACAGAGAAGTAAAGTAACTTGCCCAAGCTTCCATGGCGTGGGGGTGTCAGAGTGCCTGTGGGAGCCCAGAAGTCCTGACTCTGAGGCCACTGATCTGTCAACAGGAACCCCAGCATCAGAGATGGGTCAGCATTAGGTCAGCCGAAGGCCCCGGTTTGGTGATCCCCCAGCCAAGGGAGCAGGGATCAAAAGCCCCGACCCCCTGGAGTCAGCTGTCGTGACCTGGAGTCACCTGGAGCTGTGATGGTGGTCTCCGATGGCGAGGAGCCCCCTTCTCAACTCCATACTAACGATGATGTTCTCCCTGTCTCTGGAGACAGTGACCTGGCTCGTGGGCTGTGACACGGGTTAGGTAGGCACCTAGTATAGTGCCTGGCTCGAGATAAGGACTTGGTGGCATCAGCCACGTGGCCTGTCGTGAGTGAATGGGAAGTTGGGAGTCTCTACACTGTGCATGGCCAACCCCTTGGGGCATCCCTGGGGCTCGGCCCGCCTCACCCCGATGTGGGAGGCAATCAAGACTCCCGCACCCCTGGGTCTCCCCCGCAGGTCCCAGGCTACCGGCAGGAGCGCGTGGAGAAAGGCCTGAAGCTCTTCGCTCAGCTCATCAACAACAAGGTGTTCCTGCTGTCCTTCATCCGCACGCTGGAGTCTCAGCGCAGCTTTTCCATGCGCGATCGCGGCAACGTGGCCTCGCTCATCATGACGGTGCTGCAGAGCAAGCTGGAGTACGCCACCGATGTGCTGAAGCAGCTGCTGGCCGACCTCATCGACAAGAACCTGGAGAGCAAGAACCACCCCAAGCTGCTGCTGAGGAGGTAGGATCATGGCCCAGGGGGCCCCAGCCAGCCCCGCGCACCAGCCCGGCCCTTCTGCCCTCGGGAGGCCAGGGCGGATCTCCTAGGAGCAGCCAAGCCCAGCACTCACCTGGCCAGAGGCTGGGGTGGACCCATGCCCTCTTAGAAGAACTTGCCCCTTCTGTTGCCTGTGACTTAACCAAGCTCATCTTCTTGCCCCACAGTTTTTCTTCTGCCCCTCTCTTGACTTTCCATTCTCCTCCCTCTGCCCTTACACTCCCCTGATTGAGCCTCTCTACCAGAATTTTTCTCTTATGGATTGTTCAGAGGTCATTTTTCCATCCCCTCACCTTTTCCATGACTGAACTTGAATTAGGAGAGCTACCCCAGGGCCTCTCTGGGCACCCACCTCACCATTTCAGATTGGCAGACTTCAGCCCCTTGTAATTCTCACTGCTATCCAGGACCAGCAACAGAAGCTTGACCCAGGGCTTGGTGGAAATGCAGACCCTCAGGTCACCCCACACCTACTGGATCAGAATCAGCATTTTAGTGAGGAACCTGGGGGATCTGAATGTGTATTAAAGTTCAAGAAGCACTGGTCCAGTCAGCATTTGAGTTCAAGGTCTTTAGTGGTGACTTGCCTGATACAACACAACAGGTATTTCCTGGCATCTGCTGTGGGTTCTGCCAGTTCCAGGTCCACCTCTTGAAACCGTGGTTTGCCCCATCCTTTACACTGTTTGGAATATGCATGGTCATGTGTGCAGACATAACCATATGCTGTGGCTTTGCCTTGTAGGAAACATAGACCCTCTGCCTCTGTCTGTTGTTATTCAGTCACTAAGTGGTATTCAACTCTTTTGTGACCCCACGGACTGTAGCCCACCAGGCTCCTCTGTCCATGAAATTTCCCAGGCAAGAATATTGGAGTAGGTTGCCTTTATTTCTCCAAGGGATCTTCCTGACCCAGGGATCGACCCCGTGTCTCCTGCATTGGCAGGCAGATTCTTTGCCACTGAGGCACCAGGGGCTTCCATTCAAATTGTCCATGCGCTTGAAGACCATTTCTCCTCCAGGCTATTATTCCATTGCTTTTAGCCTTTGCTTAGATGAAGTTGAAACCTGCCCCACTCCCCACATCAAGCTATGACATTCAGCCCTCTGCCTGGACTACCCCACTTATCGCCTGCCTCTGCCTGGCCCGTGCCTTCCATTCTTGGTCTCTGAGCGGGTTCCTGCTCAGTCCAGTGGGTAGTCTTGGCTTTGTGAAGTGTTTACTTCTGGCTTTTTCCTGGTGCAGTGGGCATTTGCAAGGCACAGCTCCAAAAGGTTGTTCCATATAGGCACAATCATACAGCTTTAGAAGCAGCAAGGTAGATCATTTTGCTTTTTGTTTTACTTTCACCATGCAGCCCCCCACCGGCATAATTCTAGGGTTGCCACCGCCCGCCAAAACTCCCACCAACAACTTGCCGGTGAGGTCTCGCTCTGGATCCATGTGGTCTCCTGCTCTTGTCTTCCACTGGCTCTCTCCCAGATGTCCTCTCTCCCTCCTGCTTTCCTGCATCTCCTTTTCTTCTTCTTGTCCTTGGCCGCCCTCCTCCTTTCAACAGTTTTCCTTCTTCTCAGCTTCATTTGGTGCTGGCAGCTGTCCAACCACCTTGAGAGCTGAGATGTTAGTATCTTCTGGCAACTGCCACTTTCAACTCTATCCAGACATACCTGATGGATCGCTTTCTCTCTGGAACTGGCCACACTCTTCCTGCAAGTTTGAATGTAGTTCTTCTTTTAAGTGAATGCAACCGGAAGTGTCCTTTAGTTGGTCATGCTGCTGTGATGTTCTCACTTCCCAAAGTAAAAAAAAAAAAAAAAATGGGTTTGAGTAGTAGCATAAAAGATGCAAATTAGACTCAAGAATGAAATCGCTATCATTGCAAATAAAATTCTAGAAAGGCTCTCAGGAGAAGTTCCAAAGTACATGGAAGCTTTTTAAATAGGATAATTTGGATATCTATTGGAATGAGCTAAAATTCCAGCTCCCTGTTACTACCTACTCTGGGGGCCTTTAGCTTAGGGGATGGTCTCAATCTAGTCTGTCTGGCCTTTGTCCATGACCCATGTGCCCTGTCACTTTCTTTTCCATCCCCAGCCAAATGAGTATCTCAGGGGTTCTTTTTTCTTTTCTTACTCTAAGGAACACACCTATCTTATAAATTTCTCTAGGATGATTGTCAGTGTGATAGCTATGAGCCATATGTGACTATTTAAATCTAAGTTAAAGCAAATAAAATAAAAAATTCCACCTCTCCCCATTTCAAGTCCTCTATGGCTGGTGGCTACCAGGTTGGACAACACAGAAAGTGCTCTTGGACAGTTGGAAATGATGCTCTAGCATATTCTCACAGAAACTCACTGAGGAGCCTACACCCAGAAAGTTATCTCCCAGCTTGGTAGGCAAAGCTTATCTTATTAATTACCTTAATCATTATGATGTGTCTAGGAGTCCATGGAACTCAGGTATCCCTTCTTGTTGTTCAGTTGCTCAGTCATGTCCAACTTTGCCATCATATGGACTGTAGCACACCAGGCTTCCCTGTCCTTCACTATCTCCAGGAATTTGCTCAAACTCATGTTCATTGAGTTGATGACGCCATCCAACCATCTCATTGCATCACCCCCCTTCACCTCCCGCTTTTAATCACTCCGAGCATCAGAGTCTTTTCCTATTAGTCGGCTCTTTGCATCAGGTGGCCAAAGTATTGGAGCTTCCAGATATCCCTTATGGTCTTAAGATTTCTCAAAGCCTTAAGCAGCAAGATCCAAGTAGACTCGTCCTGCCCTCCTGCCCTTGAGGTCTGACCAGCTGCCTCTGTCTCTGTCTTGCTCTGTTGGGTCCCTCCGTGACTGCTGCCAGGACTGAATCAGTGGCTGAGAAGATGTTGACCAACTGGTTCACTTTCCTGCTCTACAAGTTTCTCAAGGTATGACTGGATGCGGGAGGGAATCTCTGGGCCTGCCTCAGCTTCCCCACCAGCCTGGGCACCAACCTGCAAGCTCCCAAGTTCACAGATACCAGGACCTTGCTCCTAGAATCCCAACAAGAAATGGCATTTCCCTCATCATAGTCATGGAGGGAACAGGCTCCTGACCATCTTAGGAGGCAGAGCCCCACAGTCAGGCCTGGCTTGAGAGGCATGGTCCCCACTTTCTCCCAGGTAAGGGGAGATGAGCTCTAAGAAGACCCTTGCATTCCCATTTCAAGCTGCAGACAGTTCACCCCTTCTTTTCCTCTTGCTCTCCTCCTGCCCTGGCCCCAGCTTCAGTCTTACTGATGCTGATGAGGGCTCTGGGCAGGTATCGAAGCATGTGTGGGGGCAGTTAAGCTGCAGATGTGACTGGGAGGCAGAAGAGCTGCTTGGCCTCCAATTACTGACTTGTAAGGAATTCACACCACTGAGGACTGACCTCTGTCCCTTGATGGGGCAGCAGAGAAAGCAGGGTGCAGGGGGGAACTGGGAGAGGGACAGACAGGGGCGTGGGGCCAGAAACATGAAGACAGGGCTCTAGAACAGAAGTGGGAAAGAGCAAGAGGGGGAGCAGAAGAGAATCAAGACAGAGAAGTGGGAAGCAGCCCCTTGGAGAAACAGAGGCCATGGGAGGCCAGGCTCTGCACATCTGGGGTCCTCCCAGCATGGCTCTCCTCCATATACAGGAATGTGCCGGGGAGCCCCTCTTCTCGCTGTTCTGTGCCATCAAGCAGCAGATGGAGAAGGGGCCCATCGATGCCATCACGGGCGAAGCCCGCTACTCTCTGAGTGAGGACAAGCTCATCCGCCAGCAGATTGACTACAAGACCCTGGTAAGCCAGCCTCCTGGCTCCTCCCCGTGACTCTGGTCCCGCCCTGGTCCAGTGCAGCCCCTGCCTGGCCCAGGGGATGCTGGGAATGCTGACAAGCCACCTCCCGGGTCCCCACTGCACAGGGCCAGCCTGGCCTTCCCCCTGTGCATGGCACCACCCCGACTTCCTCATACCACCACACCAGGGGACCAGTGGCTCAGAACATATCTGGGCAACAGCCAGAGACCAACATACTTCCAGGCTGGTACCCTGGATTGTGAGGTGGTAATCCCTTGCTAAGAGCTGGCTGAGTGTGAGCCCAAGGAATGATGCTTTCTCAACAGTTTCTCCCAGTGGAGAACCCACACTTTGCAGATCAGTTCCAAACAGGTAGCAGGTTGATGATGAAGGAGGAGAAGCCAGAAATAGTTGCTCATGGTCCCAAAGCCCACACTTGCATGACTCAGGCTATAGGATGGGATGTTAGGCTGGTCTGTCGGTTTAAGGTGTGTGTCCAGGGAACAGATGGATACCTATATCCACCCTCAATCAAGCTTACACTCCCTTTCCTGCTAGAAACCATTGTCTAGCACATAGGAGCACGTGGTTTGGAACCAGGGAGACCTGGATTGGAGCCCTGATTCCTTCTGACCAGCTGGAGGATTTGGGTCATGACTCTTAAAAAAAAAAAAATCTCTGAGTTTGGGGTTTTTAGCTGAAAAAATAAGTGAAAAGTTAAGTCACTCAGTCGTGTCCAACTCTTTGCGACCCCATAGACTGTAGCCCACCAGGCTCCTCCATCCATGGGATTTTCTAGGCAAGAGTACTGGAGTGGGTTGCCATTTCCTAATAAAAAAAAAAAAAACAGGGATAATGGCACTATTTACCTCACAGAGCTGTCCAGAAGATGGAGTGTGATCAGGTGTACAAAGCCCTGAGCCCAGGGTCAAGGTTCCCCACTGCTGGCTCATGTGAGTCCTGCTCCTCTTTCCCCCGTGACTGTCTGCTGGTGCCCAGGCCTGGGCTTTCCAGGCCAGGGAGCTCACTCTTGGACTTTTCTGGGAGAGAGCTCTGATCTCCCATCAGGCCTTCTCCAGGAAAGAGGAAAGAAGGTAGAAGAAGTGAGTGAAAGTAGCTCAGTCATGTCTGACTCTTTGCGACCCCATGAACTATACAGTCCTTGGAATTCTCCAGGCCAGAATACTGGAGTGGGTAGCCTTTCCCTTCTCCAGGGGATCTTCCCAACCCAGGGATCAAAGCCAGATCTCCCACATTACAGGCGGATTCTTTACCAGCTGAGCCACAAGGGAAGCCCAGAGTGAGAAAATGAGATAAAAGATAGCCGTGGAGGGTGATACATGGAGGCAGCACAAGAATGGAGAAGAAAATGTTGTTCAGTCACTAAGTTGTGTCAAATTCTTTGTGACCCCATGCACTACAATATGCCAGGCTTCCCTGCCCTTCACTATATCCCAGAGTTTGCTCAAATTCATGTCCATTGAGTCGGTGATGCCATCCAACCATCTTATCCTCTGTCATCCCCTTTTCCTCTGCCCTCAATCTTTCCCAGCATCAGGGTCTTTTCCAATGAGTTAGTTCTTCTCTTCAGGTGGCCAAAGTTTTGGAGCTTCAGAATCAGTTCTTTCAATGAGTATTCAGGGTTGATTTCCTTTAGGATTGACTGGTTTTATCTCCTAGCTGTCCAAGGGATTCTCAAGAGTCTTCTCCAGCACCACAATTCGAAAACATCAGTTCTTTAGTGCTCAGTCTTCTTTATGGTCCAACTCTCACATCCAGTTGGACCATAAAGAAGGACAGAGAATAGATGAGTTTAAAATGCACTTATCAGGAGATGAGATACACAACAGCCTGAGGCAAGGCAGAACTGGGCAGAAGCCCTGAGCCGAGGATGAATCCCAGACCCCGAGGCCAGCTGGGGAGATCTCTCGGCCACTCTGAACACAGCTGGTCCTGCTGGCTGGAAGTGTTGCAGCCATGATGCACCTGTCGCACTCCATCCTCAGAGGGCCCCGGGGATCCCAACAGGCATCTCAATGAATCTGCCAGGATTAGTTCAGTTGACAAGGCTTCCCGGCAGCCATGTCTGAGTGAGGGCCCAGCTTCCTTGCTGTCGTGGTGGGCTCCAGGGGAGAGTTAGAGTCTCTGATTAATATGAGAAAGGGAAAAGAGGAAGAAAAAAAAAACTTCCAAAAAGAGAGTGTGAGTAGATTTCTTAATGAGCTAAAAAAACTACTGTTGAAATGTCTCCTGCCTGGTCTCTCCCTCTCAGCTGCCTTTCCTTCCCATCTCATCAGCGGTTCCCCAGTATTGAAGCCAACACAATGAGTTGTAATAACACTGTGTCCCCAAATTGCAGCATCCTTTATACCAGAGGCCAAACTATTGTTAGCACAACCAGCTTGGTTGCAGATGACTTGACTTCAAGAGATTGTGAGGAAATTGGAGTGGGTCAGGAAAGCGCATCCGCTGAGGTAGAAACATTTGGGGAAGAGGCACCGTGAGAGAAGGGGAAGGAAATTACAACTGCCTTGCCCAGAGGGAAAAAATGGCTGCTGGGAGATTTAATAGCCACCCTCAGGCCTGTGAGAGGAAACCCCTCCTGTGGAAGGGGGAGCAGCCTGGTCATTGGTGAGGAGGGGTCAGGAAGAAAGTGTGTGAGCAGCGATCGGGGCTGACCTGAGAATTGAGATGAAGGGGTCAAATAAAGTCCAGGACATCCTAGAATTCAGCATGGCTGGAGGAGCCCAGGGCACTGTGGGCCAACTGGTGGTAACCTCGTGCTGGGCGGGAGTGAAACAGGTGCCGAGAGGCGCGGCAGGCGTCACTTGACAGTCAGATGTACCTCCTCTGTGCTGAGTGATGAATTAGATTGAACTTAGACTAGCGTGCCTAGGACCCTGCTGCTGGGGGTGCCCAAGGGCCTAGCTGGGAGCCTGCCAGAGTGCTGGGTGCTCACCTGGGAGCCTGCCTGAAAGCAGAGTCTCAGGCCCAGTCCTCCACCTCCCAAGTCAGAATCTGCATTTTAACAGAACACTTTGGTAATGTGGGCTTCCCTAGTGGGTCAGATGATAAAGAATCTGCCTGCAATGCAGGAGACCTGGGTTTGATCCCCGGGTCAGGAAGATCTCCTGGAGAAAGAAACAGCTACTCACTCCAGTATTCTGGCGTGGAGAATTCCATGGGCAGAAGAGCCTGGTGGGCTACAGCCCATGGGGTCGTAAAGAGTCAGATACGACTGAGCAGCTAACACCTTATAACCATTTTAGTGATCCTAGTCACAGGAATGTTTGAGAAGCAATGACCTAGCAGAACAAACCCCAGGCAGTCTGCTCTGAAATAGCCCAGAGGCATGGGCATGGGGAAGGGAACTTCCGGGGGAGCTGGGGCTTAGCCTGTGACTGGGAACTCTGTCCCTTGATGGGACCACTACTGCCTCTCCAGATGCCCTGAAGCACTCCACAAAGCTGTTTCTGTGGGGCCACCATGAACTCCAGGGGCAAGCAGAAATGTTGAGATGGGGGCGGGAGGGGAGGCAAACTCAGGTGGCAGCCTCTGCCTCGTGATCTCGCAGCCCGGATGAAGCTGTGATGTTGCCTGGGGAGATCAACTTCCCCCCTCCCAAGTGGCCCAGAGCACAGGAGCTCAGGGCAGCACAGAGCAGCGCAGATGGCCAGGCTGTGCTTGACCACTGAGGAGGCCCGGAGGGGGGCCCAGAAGGCTCTTGGAAGGGAATGGTTTGGAGAGTGCACGCAGTGGGGGTGCATGGTCCCGAGTTCCTTCCACTGTTGTTTTCAATTTAAGACATTTTGAGGGTGAGAGTTTGGTTTTATAGATTTAGGAGGTTTTCTTCTTCTTAACGGAATAAGCATGTTCTGGTTTGAGCTCACAGCATTCTGGTCGCTAATGAAAGGCAGGCGTCCAGGGGCCAGGGCTCTGATTGCCGCCACATGGAGCAGGAGGGGGTGGGAGGAGGAAGGCCGTTGTCTGAATCTGCGAACCAGACATGCAGTTGGGAAATGGTTGTGGGTGGGGGTGGGGAGGTGGTGATGCAGTGAAAGTTCTGAGGAGGAAACGCAGAGAGGGTGCAGGGCGCAGGGTCAGGCAGAGGGTGCGGGAGCTCGGAATGGCAACTTGACAGCATCTGTGACCCACAACACCCAGCCCGACCAGCTCTGGTCCCCCCACCCACCCACCACCAAGGATTCCACAGTCTCACCGTGTAGAGAGAGCCCACGCTGAGAACAGCAAGAGACACAAAGCTGTTAGAAATGGTCCAGAACATTTTAAAAGAAAAAGTATAGCTTGGTGATTTAGGCAGAGTCTTGACTTACCCAACTAGTTCCAAAAAGAGAACTTGAGGTCCTGAGCCAGAGTGGCCTTCTCCCCCAACTCCAGGTTTCAGGTTCGGGGCCAGGATGGGCTTGCGGGTGGTCTGAACCTACAGTTTTTAGAGGGTATCTTTTTATTTTTTAAAGATCACATTAAGCTTCTTACAGATTCTCCAACCTCCAATCAGCCTGGAACCCACACAAAAATCAAAGCATATGAGATCTTTGGAGAAAGGAGCCAACTTCCCATTAAAGTGTGAGAGACAGAGTGACCAGAAAGACAGACTGACACACAGGGATGGGGCAGGGGTCTCAGAGGTGGGTGAGGGTCTGGGTGTACGTGGAGATGGTGCCTAGTGCATGTGTGTGAGACAGTGGGGCATGCAGTAGTGTCCATTCTCAGACACATTGCCCCTCGCTGCCTCCTCCTGCTTGGACAGTGCTCCCTTTGATAACTCAGGGTTTTAATGGAGTCTGTTGTGATGAGGAATTAAACACACAGCTCCTACTTTTGCAGTGACACAGAAGCCATGGTACCTTCCTGTTGCTCGCGGGGATGGGAAGGGACGAGGGCTTAGCTGGGGTCACCCTACCCTACTCCAGTCCAACCCGCAGAGATGGGAGCCCTTCAGGAGAGGACCTCAGGCTGCTGCTGGCGATCCCGGGGCCCTCCATGCTGCCCTCCCCACGCGCCTCCTCTCCCCACCCCACCAGGTCCTGAGCTGTGTCAACCCCGACAACGCCAACAGTCCCGAGGTCCCAGTGAAGATCCTCAACTGCGACACCATTACTCAGGTCAAGGAGAAGATTCTGGATGCCATCTTCAAGAATGTACCCTGCTCCCACCGGCCCAAAGCTGCAGACATGGACCTAGGTGAGTAAGCAGCCCACCCAGGAGGCTGTACTGTGACTGGTCAGAAGCCCCTCCTACCCACGGGTGGAGTCAGGGTGCACGGAGAAGGTATGCACGGCCCCCGGGAGCCCAGGGGCTGCCTCTTCATGGCCACTTAGTGAGAAATAAGCAGAGAGGGGACCACAGTCTGCTGGCGATCTGACTGCCTCTGGGGTCTTTTGAGCAGCGGAGGAGTGGCAGTGGAGGTGTCAAGTCTGCAGCAAAGATTTAGCCTGAATCCGCATGGCCCAGGGTCTTGCGACCACCTTCTCTGTGCCCCGAGGCCTTTCCCTTTGCCTCTGTGCTATGCCTCTAATTTTTGCTGACTACCAAAAACAGAAGGGATCTGGGTCAGTGATGGAGGAAGGATAGAGAAATATGAGATATGACAGCCTACCATGGAGCATGGTGACATTTTATTTGAATGTTCCATGAATAGATCTCATAGCCTATATAAACAAGGGCTTGCCACTTAGGGCCAGCTGAACTTAGATCCAGTTACAGCTTGCCTGAGTGTTTAATAAGACACTCAGTGACCTGGGGAAATCCTAGTGGGGAGCCCCAGGCTCCAAAGAGGCCAGGGCTGAAGAGAGGCAGTTTGGCATCATGGATCAGCATCACACCTGCCTGAGTTTGGATCCTGGTTCCACTGAGTTCTGTGTAACCTTGGTCTAGTTACTTAACCTTTCTGTCCCTTAGTTTCCTTGCCTATAAAATGGAGATAAATACTAGTGCCTGCCTCACTGTAAGAATGAAAGGAGAGAATACATATAGAAGCCTTTAATGCACTGCCTGGTCCATAGTACCTCCCAGGAAGTATTGGCCACTAATATTACTGATTGTGAAGATAATACTGGTGAGGAAATGGTATGTGTCTGTTTGTTGATCCTGGGTATGGAGGGAAAGGTGTCTATGTATGTACATGGTTGAGTCTGGAAATTCATGGCAACATAGAGGGGAGAAGACCTCCAGAGGCCCCTAATGCATCCATCTGGCCTCTAAGCTGGCTTCAGCTAAGCCATCCAAGGCAGATGGGCATCTGTGCTATTTTCTAAAATCCACGGGGAATTTTCATGCCCTCCCACTGCTTCGCCATCCACCCACCTCCCCAAATTCTGATGCCTAAAGACTCAGGATCAGGAAGTTCACTCACCTCAATTCTCACTGCTTCCCCCACCCCCACCTCTCCTCTTGGTTGGCTCTTGGCAGGATGTATTTGGCCCTGTGCCCAGAGTTTGGCAGCCCAGAGAGGAGAGACTGGCCGAGCACATTCTTCCCTTCCCTTTGGAACTGTCTCTGTGTATGTTGTTTCTGGGACAAGGAGGAAGCATCTGTGAGACCTTCAGAGTATAGGGTACCAGGAAAGTGTGTCCCCAGCGCTGGTTCCTAGAGTTGGAGTAGCCATTTGTGTCTGTGTGTGGGGGAATCTGCTGCCAGGAAGATCCCACAGACTTGATGGAGTCAACGGCTCAGTTATAGAACCAGTGGGAGAGAAGATAGTGCCAGGGAAGGAAGACCCCCATATCCCTACCCCCAAGCAATTAAGTGGGCTGATCAATGGGTCTGCCAGGGAGAATTGAGTTTACTAGGGTCACCAGGTAGTATTTACCATGCCTTTTATTCATCTGTGAGAGCCATGGCTTGTCAAAGTCCTTATCTACAATATGCTAGGCCAGGAGAGCCCTGGCCTAGTAGGACCAAGAGGAGGAACTATTACAAGAACCTTTATCTTCATGCTGGAAGGTGAGTTTCAAAAGCTTGTACCTTAGTTTAGAACATGGCGAGAGCTCAGTGGGTGGGTGCGTATAGAACCATGTACTTCTGGTGCTTGGGAATGGGCTGACCTCCCATGGGGGAGAGAGAGACCATGTCATGGCTGGTAGGTAGATATTGCTCAGGATCAACCATCCCCACCTGGAAGCCACACACCCAGAGCTTAGCAGGGGGAAGGGCTTCTTTAACTTTAGAACACTTGTTGGGTGCAAGTCCAGCAAAGCAGATTGTTAATTAAAGGATGTAATGAATCTGGAGTGGAGGCAGCAGTATCCAAAGCAGCCATGGCCCTTTCCTGCCATCCACTTCCTGCTATCCACTTCCTGCTATCTACTTCCTGCTATCCACTTCCTGCCATCCACTTCCTGTTGTCCACTTCCTGCCATCCACTTCCTTCCATCCACTATGAGTGAAGGAAGTCTGAGGGCTGTGCAGCAAACAGGGCCCACCCAAGAGTTGCTACTCTCTCAAGCTAGAGGCTGTTCAGACCAAGGGTATGGTGCTCACTGGGTCCCAAGAGGGCAAGGGAGCCATCTTTCTCATCACAGGACTGCTGGGGAGGATGCAGCATCACTGGATGGATGAGGCCTCACAGCAGGCAGGGTAAAGGGGAAAAACCAAAGGAAGGAGACAGTTTGCGCATCTGGGGCCTTATCCTCCTGGGGAAGTGGTGTCATACTGAACTTCTTACAAAGGCCTCCCATGATGGATGCTCTTCTGAGGAATTTCCTTCTTTTCTATTAAGTGCAGGGTCTGGAGCCATCCCTGCAACTCTGGTCTTCTTTCTACCAAAGCCAGATTCCATAACAAAGAAAACAGGGCCTCCTCAGAAACCCAAATGCTTCTTCCACAAGATTTGCTTCCACTCAGTTGCATGACCCCCATGGGGAGAGACAGGCAAGGCAAGTTTTTCCCACTGTGTAGGTGAAAGTGCTTTGAAAGCCTGAAAGCAGTTTACAAATACAAGGTGAGACTGTTACCAAAACTTCATCTGTGCCAAAGGGATGCATGGGCTTCCCCAGTGGCTCAGCAGTAAAGAATCTGCCTGCTATGCAGGTGATGCAGGCAGGAGACTTGAGTGCAATCCCTGGGTTGGGAAGATCCCCTGGAAAAAGGAAATGGCAACCCTTTCCAGTATTCTTGCCTGGAAAATCCCAATCCATGGGGTCACAAAGAGTTGGACACAACTGGACAACTAAACAACAACAGCAACAAAAGGACACATAGCATGTAGGCACAGAGAAGACTGTAAGCCACATGCATTGGAGGCAAGACAGCCGAGCATACCCCTCCACTTCATTTCCCTCCATGCCACCTCTTTCCATAGCTGAGGGCATTGGGCAAAGACTGCCTTCCCCCTCCTGGCAAGGCATGGACATCTGTCCCAGGCCAGCTTAGAAGGAAGCGAAGACATTTTAAACCACCTCTGTAATTACCCTAAGCACAGCCAGCCCCAACCCCTTCCCCCTGCCTTTCATCATCACTATGGTGCCTGGCCTGGCCTAGTCCTCCATTCCCAACACTTCTGTTCATTGTTCCTGGGACTGAAGCTCTCCCACCCTGCACATTCCACCAGCTTCTCCAGGCACTGAGGAGCCAAGATGGGGAACCGTATTAGCCAGCATTCTCCAGAAAAACAGAACCAATGGAATGGGATATGTTTATATAGAGAAAGCTTATTTGAAGGCATTGGTTCATGCAGTTATGGAGGATTTCATAATAATGGACAAGGAGGAATCTGTTTGGGCTGCCATAATGGAATACCATAGCCTGCTTGGCTTATAAACAACAGAAAATAATTTATCACAATTCCGGCAGCTGAGAAGTCCAAGATCAAGGGGTCAGAAGATTTAGTGTCCAGTGAGAACCCACTTCCTGATTCATAGATGGCCATCCTCTTATTAGGACTCTATGTGACAGAAAGTGGGCAAGAAAACATGTGTTCAGTCGCTTAATCATATCCAACTCTTTGTAGCCCCGTGAACTGTAGCCCAGGAGGCTCCTCTGTTCATGGGATTTTCCAGGCAAGAGTACTGGAGTGGGTTGCCATTTTCTTCTCCAGGGAGCATTCTGGGATCCTCTTTACAAGGGCACTAATCCCATTCATGAGGGCTCCACCCTTATGACCTCAGGCACCCTCCAAAGGCCCCACTCTAAATGCTATCTCATTGAGGGTTAGGAGTCAACATATGAATTCTGGGAGGATACAAACATCCAGTGTCTAGCGTGAAGGCTGGTAAGTCCAAAATATATAGGGAAGGCCAGCATGCTGGAGACCCAGAGAAGAGCCATGTTACAGTTCAAGTCCAAAGGCATCTGCTGCAGAATTCCCTCCTGCTCAGGGGAGGTCAATCTTTTGTTCTACTCAGCCCTTCACCTAATTAGAAGAGGTCCACCTACATTATGGAGGGCAATTCGCTTTACTCAAAGCCAACCAATTTAAATATTAATGTCATCCAAAAACACCCTCACAGAAACATCCAGAATGATTTTTGACCAGCTATCCGGGTGGGTACTGTGGCCCAGACAAGTTGACATATGATAGAACTAACCATTGTAAGAATCAAAGCAAAGGACACAGAACCTGCCTTTCTTTCATTCTCTTAGTATCTAGGGAAGGGAAGATATCCCAGGGCAGAAGTTAAGGACTATGCTGGGGCAAGTGGACCTTGGGAGCTTTGAAAGCACAGTGCTAGGGCTCCCTGCTTTGTTATATGTGAGGCCGTCCTTGTCAAGTTGATGCCCCTTTCCACCCACAGGTATTGGTTATAGGTACTCCCTTATACCAGACTTAAGTGGTGGCTCAGTGATAAAGAATCTGCCTGCCAATGTAGGATCCCTGGGTCGGGGAGATCACCTGGAGAGGGTCATGGCAACCTGCTCCAGTATTCTTGCTGGGAAATCCCATGGACAGAGGATCCTGGTGAGCTACCATCCGTGGAGTCACAGAGTTGGACATGACTGAGCGACTAAACAAATCACAACCCTGTTATACCCCCAAACTCCTCAACCAATGTACCATAAGAGCCTGCCCTGGGGAAATGCCTGGTACAGAGGGAGCCACACGACTAGGAGTTCCTCATTTCTTCGCACAGTAGCAAGAGGCTGGACACTGCTCTTTCTGAGCCAAGGGACTCTTGTCTCCTCTGTTCATTCTCCAGAGGACATAATTGATGCCATTCTGTTCCACTGCACAGGAGGAGACTCTG